AAAACCCTAAAACCCTAAAACCCTAAAACCCTAAAACCCTAAAACCCTAAAACCCTAAAACCCTAAAACCCTAAAACCCTAGAACTCTAAAACCCTAAAACCCTAAAACCCTAAAACCTTAAAACCTGACAACCCTAAAACCCTAAAACCCAGCAATCGCGAGACGGTGTCGGAAGAGATGTTGATCTAGCTAGGCCGCTGACATACCTTGAGCTTGATATTGGGACAACGCGGCATACATCTTTTATGATTCGGTACCGGCGGCCTAGCTTTGTAGCTAGCTTCTGCTTTATATAAATATATACCGAGTAATCATGATTAATCACAATTAACCACTGGCATGCACATACGTTTCAACGAACCGCAAGACTCGAAGGCTGCATGTTTTGCGCGGCCAGATCGAACGGAAGTCCCCTTTGCGCAGTTCAAGGATCCACCTAAACTGGCGATTTATATATATGCAAAATCACTTAAATAGTATTGTTTTCGTGTACTATGTCTAGCAATGCCCCTATTAAAGCCAGGCTAGCTGGCCGGGCCTCATGATATTGAAAGTGCAGTCAGTGACCGGACCGAGCCGCCTAGCTGGCTGGCGTACGGTCCGATGGATGCCAATGCAGTGCACGCTGGTTTTATGATTGATCGCTTTATAAAGCATTGACTTTTTGCGTTCCGGGCTACATGAAACCACTTGACACCAGAAACAGCACCCGATCGAACAGCACACTCAATCTAGATTTGGAACAATGCCACATTGGAGTCCCAGAAGGTCGAGCTAGAACGTGTTGTCCAGATTGAAGTTGCAAATCCCGGTTCAGATTGGATTGTGAAAAATATTTGCAGTTGGGAAGAGGGCACCTCCGGATGCAAAAAGATTTGACTAATTTGACACGTATACTTATTCAAGTGCATGGCCAGTGAGACCAATTTTTTCGGGTCAGCTGCCTCTACGAAATACTAGGTTCCATCTCGAACGGAGAACTTCCAGCGGAAAGTTCAAGCCAGAGTCAGGTTCATGGTACAAGGCCGGCCATCACAATGTGGCCGCAAAGAATGGCGGTAGTGCACCAACTTGAGTCCAATCTATGTGTGTCACGCTTGCAACCTTGTGGAGGCGACATCTCAGACCTATTTACCTTTCCGCATTTCTAATGGAGCGCAAACCTACATGATCTGTGCAGGGCCACCAAACACGTTCCCGAGACCCACCCAGCCCAACGCCTAGAGACCCATGGTCTTTTTAAGCATCTTCTTGTAGTCGCGGATGTCGCCATTCCACCGCTCAACCTTCTTCTTGTCGCACACCCAAATCTCCTTGGCCACTTGGTCAATCAATCGGAAATCGTGACTGACCAGGACCAGCCCACCGTTGTAGTGCTGCAATGGAAGGTGAAATGAGTTTCAGGCGCACTGTCAGCTCCAACATTCTCGACCCCTATAATCTAAAACCCCAGAGAACTGCGCGCATGAATGTAGCCCTTTAACCCATGGTTCTTGACAACCACCTGGATCTTAATACTCTGGAGATTGTCCCAAGCGGGCGGCAATCTTGCCGTCTAGGAAGAGTCTGTCACAGGAACCTCCAGACAGTCGTGTCAGACAGCTAGTCTCGTCCAATCCTCGAACGAGCTCCTGTCTTCCTCAGACCCTGGCGGGCTGGTGTGCGGCCTCACCTGGATGGCCTCGGCGAGGGAGTCGATGGCCTCAATGTCGAGATGGTTGGTGGGCTCGTCGAGCAGCAGCATGTTGGGCGTCTTCATGCACATCATGGCGAACACGACGCGGCTCTTCTGCCCCTCCGACAGCTCCGCGATCTTGGTCGTCTGCATCTTGCCCGTGATGCCGTAGCGACCGATGAACGCGCGCCACTCGTCCACGTCGCGGCTGAAGGTGGCGTTGTTGGGCCACGACCTCTGGAAGAACTCGAGCACGGCGCAGCTCTCGTCCAGCTGGTCCACGCTGTGCTGGTGGTACCGCCCGATTGAAAGGTGCGCGTGCCGGTTCACCTGCCCGCGCGTCGGCATCAGGTCGCCCGCCATCAGCTTGAGCAGCGTGGACTTGCCCGCGCCGTTGGGGCCCACCAGCGCGAGGCGGCTGTCGCAGTCGATGCCGAACTCCAGGTTGCGGTACAGCATGTCCTCCTCCTTGCCCGAGTACGAGAAGCTCACGTCCACGAACGGCAGCACCGGCGGCGGCAGCTTGTCGCAGTCGGGGAAGCGAAACTACACCAACAACACCCCAGACATTTAGTCGCCGGACCCATCCCATTAGTCAGGATGCAACTCACGCTGCGAGCTTGCCGGTTGAAAAGGAGAGGAACAGGCAGGTGAAGGCGTGAGCACCTTTACGGCCGGATGGCTGTTGCAACGAATCCTTGCTGCTAAGACCTCGTGCAGATACACACTTTCTGTCAGCGTTGAGAGTGGATATCAAGGACGAGACGTCGAGCGTGGCGTGCACATGTCAGCGGTTGAGAAGGATGGATCGTGGCTAGCTCTTATATTTCCAGCTTATCAGCGTCTACATTATCAACAAGAACCATTCCATCATCCAGAAGAGTACAACCAGGTGGACATGCCACAAACAGCAGGTGGGTTTCAAAGCCGTTCTCAGCGCAAAGCGCGACGCAACGCCATAAACTTGATATGAAACAGCGCGCGTGGTGCGTTTACCTGGAAGGTCCTGCGCCGTTGGACGGGCGGCGTGAGGCCGGCGGCCTCCATCTTGTCGAGGATCTTCTGCTTGGACTTGGCCTGCTTCACCAGGTTGGCGAACGTGCCGCACGACGCGATGAAGGCCTTGATGTGCTTGATGTCGTCCTGCTCCTTCTCGTACTTCTTCTGCTGCACCGTCTCGTTCTCCGACACCGTCTTCATGAACGTGTCGTAGTTGCCCGAGTAGTACGTCAGCTTGCGCTCGGTGAGCCAGATGATGTTGGTGCACACGCCGTTCAGAAAGTCCTGGCTGTGGCTGATCAGCACCAGGCACTTGTTGTACGTCTTCAGGTACTCCTCCAGCCACACGCACGCCTCCAGGTCCAAGTGGTTCGTCGGCTCGTCCAGCAACTGCACGCACAAACACGCCGCACTGCGACCGCTCAGCACAGCAGTGCTAGGGGAGGTAGGGGCCAGGCCTCACAGAGTGCCCACTCAAGGTGCAGCCGAATCAATCAGCAGGGGCACAGACATGGCGGCGTAGCCCCCGAGAGGTTGTCAGATAACAAAGTGGGCCCATGCGCAAATGTTCACCTTGCCATCAACAAGCTCACGAAGCAACCCTGACAGGTTACAGCTTCAAGAAGCAAAGCAAAAGCCACCTATCATTGGCTATCCGTATTGAGCTCCGCTACCAACTTCTCAAAGCTGTGAATGCCCTCGCAGAAGCGGGACTGACCAGGAGGGTGGGCGCCGCGAAGAGCGCGCGCGCAAGGGCGACGCGCATGCGCCATCCTCCGGACATGTCCTTGGTGGCCTTGGCCATCATCTTAGTCCCAAAGCCCAGGCCGTGCAGCAGCTTGGACGCCTCCGCCTCAAACTGGTTCGGGTCCAGCGACTCCAGGCGCTCGTAGATCAGCTCCAGGCGCTCGTCCTCAGGGCCCGTTGTGCTCAGGATGTGCTCCTCCGCCGCGTTCAGCCGGCGCACCTCCTCCTTGATGTGGTCCACCACCGCCTGCACACAAGGCACCACGCCACTGCCACTCAATGACCCAGGTGGCGATGGTGGCACTCAAAGGTGCCTGTTCCCCCCAGGCAGGGACAGGCAGAAACGCTGCCACCCTCAGCCTGTTAAAACTGCTGCGCAGGGAGTACATACACCTAGCATAACCATCATCCTTATTGCCTCTGTAAACAGTCACTTTCACTGTCCAGTAACTTCAGCGAATGACGCAAGGAATGTGACGACAGGAAGAATGACAGCAGGCATGCGACAAACGGCCTTGGGGCTGGTTACTCTGACACCCTGCCCCCTGCTGTGTCTCTCACCTCGAGCGCTGTCCTGTCGCTGGGCTCTGCCTCCTCGTGCAGGTGGTACAGGTCCATGTGATCGGGGATGGGCACCTGCAGGCACACACAGGCAGCACGTCACACCCCCGCTCGCTAAGCAGCAGCCCCCGCGCCTTTCTACTGTCTCAACTGTCTCAACCACACATCCTCTGAGTGTCGCAGTCTCAGACTAGCCCTCAGTCCAATCCTGCGAATCAGTGTCTGGCCGGCAGGCTTGCCACATGACATTAAGTGATTGCTGTGCAGTGAGCTCCTCACCTCGCGTGCTGCAAGGCATTGCAGGAAATTGGTCTTGCCCGACCCATTGGCTCCGATAAGGCCGTACCGCCGCCCGATGGTGAGCTCAATGGTGCAATCCTGGATGAGCTCCTGCCCATTGAGGCCCATGCTGAACCCATCGATCTTGATGTCGCGCGACGTGGGCCGAGACGACAGCACCCCCGTCACTGTGCGCTGGTGGTGATCCGACTGAGGGAGAGGGCGGGGCGGGTCAGCCAAGGGATGCCAAGACAATTCGTACCACGAGCGAGAGGCAACCAACCAGAGGGCTCGACGTCGCAGCCGTAAGAAAAATGTTGGTAAGTGGACACCGAGTCAGTCAACATTCAAAGATTAGATAGCGTACAGTCAATATCAGACGCACCATCGCTTGATGGCAATCAGAATGACCAGATTGGTCACTTTCATGGTAATCCCTCTATTCCTCTCCGAGTGACAATCCTGATGAAGCATCCAGCACTACGCGGCCCGATGGTTGTGTGCCCCAGCTGATGGTGCCCCTACTCACCGCGGAGCCATTTTGTTGGCTGGGTTTATCCAGTATGCTCAAATCTGCCGCACTCCCTGTCATCTTGGACAACTCCGCAGCGCTCTGCACAAGGAGCGGCACTCATCAAAGGGTTTCCAGAGTTGCAACAGCGGGGCGGCACTGCTCTGGTTCAAAACACATCTTGCAACAGCGGGGCGGCACTGCTCTGGTTCAAAACAAAGCGAGGCTACATCTCATTGTTACAGCGCAGTAGTGTGCCTCCCCAAGCAAGGCAGTTTTGCTTTCATAAACCCTCAAGAGCCAGCCTCATGGCCAGCATGATCAAACCACTCGCAAGGTCTGGGCATGCTACACACGTGGCAGTGGTGTGACCCCCCGTTCCTGCAGATCTGATCTAAGTGGGGCGGGGCAAGTGGTGTGTGCTCACCGCGTTGCGCGACACTGCGGGGCTGGACCCTGCGCTGCCATGCAGCTTGATGTTCTGCTTGGCCTTCTTGGCCAGGGCCTTCTTCTTAGATGCATCCGACACCATGGTCACTGGCGCAGCTGCTGCAGACAACAAACAGAGCAGGCAAGTGGTTACCACCAGCCCACCACGAGCTTCACGAGCTACCAATAGGAAGGTCCTCATCTGAAAGGCAAACATCCATGCGGTTCCAGACACGGTGGCTTACGTTTTGGGCTACCGTGTTGCTTCAGATACTGGCCCGAGGAATGATGGACACCACAACTCAAGGTCGTCCAGATCACTTTGCGGAAGCTTGAGTCACACCATTACCAAAACAGAACATGTTATAAAACTTCAATACCACAAAGGGGGTTTCTCAGACAAGAACACCTCTTCACATACTTCAAGCCAATGATGCCATAGAAGCGCCCAGCTTCTGCCAAAATCGCCCCCTGTAGATTCATTCAGATCAGAGCCAAACAGCAGACTCTTTTTTGCCAAGACATGAGCTTGCCCACAAACATCGCATGAAGACAAAGATCCCGGTTGGACCTGAGCAAGGATGTTCAATGAACGCCGTGAGATGAGCAAAATCTCACCAGACGACGAGAAGATCTGCACGTGTTGCTCTCAAAAAACCTTGCAAACACCCCTTGACAACTCGACCAATTGCGATCCCCACAAACTCTGTTCTTCCAAAGGAGCGGATCACAGCGGCACTCAACGTAATTTGCACGACGCCTTCGCGATGATTGTCTCCACTGAAGCAAGGAATTGCTGCTGGGCGCGATCTAGACTCCTCCTCAACGTCCGGTCCTGCGCTGTTGAGGTTGAATTTGTGCTCTTCTTTGACAAAAAGTTGCTCACTATGGCATGATTCGCATGATCCGATCTGGCGCCAGCAGTTGGCAGCCGTGCACGTGACTGAATTGGCGCCAGCTGAAGTGAGCGTTTCCGCTTGATCTGATTCTCTGAGCGGAATACGGTATTAAGAGACTCTAGAGTAAAGGTCTACGCCTGGACGGACGGTTCCGCTCGGGAACGACGCGGACGAAGTGACAATTACCGGAAATTAGGCCTCGGAGCTGCCGTCCGCGATTTCCAGCCAGCTCTAGTTTGTTGCGAGTCACAAAAGGGAGGCAAGTAGCTTCAGCCCGTCCTCTTTCTTACTGAGGCTGCACGCTGGGAGGGGCGCTTGCGGCGTGTCAAGATGGTGTCCGGCAGCGGGGTGATCAAGAAGCGGGTGCTCATCGACGCCCGCCACCACATGCTGGGCCGCCTCGCCAGCATCATCGCCAAGGAGCTGCTCAATGGACAGAGAGTGGTGAGCGCAGCAGCGCAGCGGTTCAGCAGCTCATGTGACAGGCCAGGAGCAGGGTGATGAGCTTTAGAACCTCTAAAAATGGAGCGGGCTCATTCTGGTTCACGCATGTCCACTGAAACACAGACATACTGTGGGCAACCCTGTGGTAATGGTCTGCTGTGCTGTGAGATCCATGTGGACCAGCAAACCGTCCAGTCTGTTTATCGTGCTTCGTGTTCAGGGCTACGGAATGCATCTCTTCGCAAAATGGTACGAAGGTATAGGGTTTTGTGGGGGCTTTCATCGTCTTAGATAGTTTACACTAGTTTGTTGCCGTACAAGTCTGGGGTAATGGTGATGTGCAGACAGCATCGCGAGCTCGGGCTGTTACTGTCGTTGTGGCCACCTGCAGAAGGACCGCTGTCTTGAGAGAAGGTGGTCCTATGCTGAATTTCACATGGGCGCTTTTTCCCATGTAGTTTTTGCTCCATCGTCTCCTTTTTGAGGAATCGTTGAACTTGCTGCTGCCGGATTGTACCTTTTTCAGAAGGGCTGCTGGTCAGGCTAGATGGGCATGTCTGGACTAAGATTGTTCTTCGTGCTTGGTTGGAGCCAGTTTGTGATCGTGCATTGAGTCAGTCAGTCAACGGCTGGTAATGCTCGTGCTCTGGCAGGTTGTTGTGCGGACGGAGGAGATTGCGGTGTCGGGCGGGCTTGTCCGGCAAAAGATGAAGTACCTGCGCTTCCTGCGTAAGCGGATGAACACCAAGCCAAGCAAAGGGCCCCATCACTTCCGGTCCCCCGCCCGGATTCTTTGGAGGACTATCCGAGGGTGAGCATAAATGCGCCTCACAGCGGACGGCAGTGGAATGGACACAGTGGACTGATACGCATAGCGAGAATTACGTATCTTTCAATGTTGTTGAATATATAGATTTGTTTGGCAGAGAGCGGTCATGATTGATCAGGAGGGCAAGGTGCCGAAGCAACAACTGGTGCAGACCGCGGTCGTCATGCGTTGAGGTTAGAAGTGGCAGAAGCAACCACTGGTGCCGATCGCGGTCGAGATGCATGAGGTTAGAAGCGGCAGCCAAAAAGTCTAAAAAAGTGGCGGGGCTGGACGATGTTTCAGGGAAGTGTGCCTGCAGGATCCTGCTCTTTCATAAGAGAGATACATGTAGGCTGGGGCCTAACCAATGTAGATGCTGCAAAGCTGCATTGCCGGACTTGATATGAAGACTTGATATGAGATGCCCGCCTGGAACACACCATCCGGCAATGGGAGATGGTTTGTTGGAAGATGCTGTGCCTCAGTGATATGCTCTTTTGGAATCTGAACACAGTACTTGAGCAAGGGAGCTGCTCATTTTCCTACAGATGTTAGCGCGCTAAGACTCAATTTGGAGTCTGGCGGCCTTGCGTTGGTCAGGTTCATGATTGTCTCCAGTTCAATTGTGGATGACTAACCTCAACAATCGTATCCACCAAGTTTCCGCGAGAAACATGCACCTGCCCTGTTGGCACACTTTCTGCTCGCTGCCTGACGCTGCTGTTCGTTGTTTCCCCAGCATGATCCCCCACAAGACCAAGCGCGGCGCGGAGGCCCTGGAGCGGTTCAAGGCGTTTGAGGGCATCCCCGCGCCGTACGATCGGATGAAGCGCTTTGTGGTGCCGGACGCGCTCAAGGTGCTGCGGCTGCAGCCGGGGCACAAGTACTGCCTGCTGGGGAAGCTGAGCGAGGAGGTCGGCTGGCACCACAGCGCCACCATCAAGGAGCTCGAGGAGAAGCGCAAGGCCAAGTCCGCCGCCTTCTACACCAAGAAGAAGGTCAGCCACCCCTTGGAGACTGGGCAAGGGTTGATAGGCAGCTTCTTGCCAGTGACCGCTTCTTGATTGATATGCAATCTGGGATGTGTTATCGTTGTGAGCAGCCCCTCTTTCAATTGTGCTGCAACCCTTTTGTCGCCTCGCCTGAAGTGACTGGAAACTACCTGACAGCCTCGTTTCTCTGTTTTGTTTCCAGGAGCTAGTGCAGCTGCGGTTGAAGGCCACCAAGAACGCCGCCAAGGCGCTGGAGCCCATGGAGAAGGTGCTGGCCCCTCTCTCGTACAAGGCCGCTGCATAGGGACACGAAGTCGAATTTGACAACTGTTTTCATACAATCGTCAGCTCATCTCAGGTCTCCAAGAGCATGCCACTTCAATGTGTGAAGCGCAAGAATGACAGCCATCTTCATGTTCGAACCAAGATGAAGCTACTGCTATTGATCGATGATGAGGAGTTACGAGACTCGCAATTTCTTTGGGGTATGCGGGGTCGGAGGCTCTAGCAAAGGAGCATGGTTTGTAGCCGCGAGCAGCTATTCCTATCCTGCTTGTGCGCATCTTGGTATGTGACGGTCCCTGCCTAACATTCGCATTGCATACTAAACAGTCGTGCCACCAACATTGCATGTACAGCATATTGTGCATCCCGGATCGATCGGGGCTCTGGCATGGGGTGTGCATGGTCGCATGCAATGTTTGAAATCTAGTCTGGTGAACATGGATTGGTAGCTAGTACGTCGATCAAATCCGACTTTGCACATGGGCACTGCAGTCAGATCGATTCACTGAGTCAATGATAAGTTATAGCTGCAATTGTTTGCTGCCGCGCCGCGCGTGCATGAGCTATAGTGACAGCGACGAGCCTGACCTAGTGCAGTCATGCATGCTCAGCTGTATAGTTTTACACTTTTGTTGCAGCTAGTACCATGAGTCGCGCCAGCAATTAGTATAGATAGCTATCTAGCTTGAAATTGCAATTACCGTAGTATTTGATCGACCAAGTATCTCGATCGTATACTCTATAAGCTGAACTTTGTAATTCAATGTTACAGCCATGTCGCATTGAAATAAGCAAATCATTAATAGGCCTCCGCTCACAGCTCGTCTTGTTAAGAGTCATGGTATGGTCGATGGTACTGCTGTACATAGTGATATTGCTAGCTTGCTACCGTAACGTAAGCTCGAGTTCAATTGAACACAAAGCATGCCACATGCCATGGTGCAACTAAACCATTCCGTTCGCGGATGCATGGCCGGTCAGCTCAGTCCGACTAGTCGGACGGTATACATCTGGCAAAATTTTCAATGCACGAGTGGCACCCAGCATGCATGCATATGATGTTTTGACAGTCACTTGAGATGCAAACAATTCCGAGTTGTATGCATTCAGTTTACAAGCTTTTAGCGTACAAGCAAGTGATGAGTGAGGTCAGACCAACCATCGAATAGTGTTAGCCGATTTGCTGACACAGACCAGACGTTTACACTTTCTAGACTCGAGACTACTAGCTTTCTAGACGTGGCTTGAATCCTGAGGACCGGTGTGCTCTTCCTCGCCGTCGTACTCGTCCTCATCCATCCCGGAAATCCGCTTAATTTGTTCTACATGGTCGTTGAGTGCAGTTTGCACAGGAAAGTCGCGCGAGAGCTCCAAGTCCATGCCTGCCAGCGAGGAAAAGTAACGCTTCAGAGCTCGAAGCTCGGGACTACGGTTCCAGATAGCAGGGCTGGTCAAAGCCCATGATAAAGCAGACATGCGAAGTCTACATGTAATCAAGAAAAGCCGCAGATCGGCTGTGGGGTTTTGCAGCAAAACTCAACACTAAACTGCAGGTCACCAGGTCTCTCTACCACTTGTCTACTTGCTGTCCTACGCATTAGCAGCTCTCAAAGACCCTACGGTTGCACCCCCCCAGGCTTCCGTGCATCGGCAGTGTGCGGGGGCAAGGGGGCGCCTCACTCACCTCGGGGGGGAGCGAGACCAGCCAGCGCCCACCCTTGTGCTCTAGCGTGACCATGCACTCAAACGGGGGCGTCTGGCTGCCTGCCCTCCCCCCCGGGTGCCGTGCCTAGCTCTACGTGCCCGGGGCCGCCCCCCTGCCCCTCGTGCAGCCAGACGTCGTCCTCCCAGTCCTGGTCCGTACCAAACTTTTGTGGCTGGTCCTCGTTGATGCGGCTGTACGCCTGGTCCTGGTCCGGCAGCACCACAATCGCAACGCGCCCCGTCTCGCGCGTCAGCAGGTAGTACAGCACGCCGAACACGACCGCCACCACCAGCTCAAACACGCCAAACGCCAAAAACTTGCCCGGCACCAGCGCGTGGTCGCTCCGCGCCTGCACCACCACCGCACACAACGGCGTCAAGCGCAAGCGCAGTCAGATGGGAAAAGGGCAGGGGGAAGTGCAGAGGAGGGCCTTGTCGACCGCTCCTCATCGGCGGTCCACTTCTCTTTGCCTATCCAGCGAACCTGATATAGTCGTGCAGAGATGCGGACTTGCAATCTTTGCCCGAACAGGCAAGCTTTCTCGCAACTCGACTCCAGACCCAGATTGTGTGCCTCTACGTTCACTCCGACAGTATGCGCGACGGTGCCCTGGACGTGCGCGCAGGGTCGGGGTGCTCACGGTGTAGATCTGGAAGATGCCCTGCACAACCAGCTGGCCGGCCGTGTTGGTGGCAAAGAGCAGGATGTAGCGCGCCGTGCGCAGCGCCAGCGCGGACTGCGCCACCACCAGCGCGTACAGCGCCCACGACAGCGCCGTCACGACCGTGAACAAAAAGTAGGCGAACCCCGTGCTGCCCGTCCGCGAGAGGAGCAGCGAACAAACGCCAATCTGAGGAGGGACAAGGGCAAAGGGCCTTCAGCGCCTGGCGGCAAGTCTTTGTTGGCAGCCGATGCAATCTATACAAGCGGACGAAGGGTCAACGTTGGATGAAATGAGCAGCAGCACAAAGTTCGACAACTCCCAAAAGCCGTCGAGCCAGAACCATCCATTCGGCGAGGAGCAGCCATGCCGCCCGGCTGATAAGTACGCACCACAAGCGAGCCGACGATGTAGACGCCGCCGCCAGCGGACGCGGCGAGGCGGTTGAAGCGGATGAGGCTGAGCACGGCGAGCAGGGCGGCCGCGTTGGCCAGCACGTACACGAGCGACTGCGCGCGGTAGCCCGAGTAGGCGGGGCCGCCGTCCTCCACGCTGTAGTGGCTGAACAGCTCGCTCGCATGCGCCTGGATCAGCGGGCCCACCGCGCCGCCCAGCACCCACCTGCGCCCATAGCCACCCAGCGCCACGCTCAGACCAGCGTACTTAATTCTGCACTATAAAGGAGTTCCAGAGAATCACAAGCAGGCCCAACGTCGGCCATTGCAGGAGAAGAGCCCACCTCACACGCCAAGACCATTAGCGCACTGATTGGAGGTTACATCTCACCAGACTGAGAGGAGGCGCAGGTTCCGGTTTTGGTACGTCTCTTTAAGCGCCGCAAGGGGCCCCTCCTCCGGGTCGGTCAGCTTGAGGAGCGACGTGTTGCTGGACAGGTGGCTGTTGGGCTCGCGCGGGAACACGCACGCCAGAATGGCCGCCAACGTCACCTGGGGGAAATAGGGCGGTCGCTCCTGATGTCTGAGCCCTCGCGCTCCCATCAACAAAGTTGCAGAGCTCGAGTTGCACGGGATCGAATGCAGGTAGTCAAAAGCAGTGCAGCAATAATTCAGGTGGTGGAGGCGGCCTCACCGGTGCTAACGAGATGAAAAGTAGGAGCAGGGTAGGGATGCCGATTCCCCGCAAGATGCTAGCTGCACGAGAACAAACAGCGACGTGTAAGAAGCACGTCGAGTTGTCAAGAATGTATTAGAGCTGCCCTGCGGACCTTGTAACATGGCAGCTGAATTGAAAGGCAAGGCGGCTTCTGAGGTTCCGCCAAAGACAACGCTGCCAGTGTTTATACGGGGACAATTCGGAAAGACCTGGTCAAGACGTGTTTCCAAGCGAAATCAACTCAGCTATTGCACATTTCATTAAACCTGGCCGCCTCAAGCAGGATCTGTCTCTGCCGCTCACAGAACTCAAGCCATCCGCTAAGTACGGCTAGGTTATTGGGCGGGCCGCTTCCGCATTTCTCTGGATTCGAAGTTTCGGATCGTGTGACAAAGTTTGACAACGTGCACAGCAGTGAGTGTCAAGACGGTGCTGCCCCTCACTGAGCGCGGTGGCCATGATGACGGCTGCGAGGTGCGCCCCGATGGCCACGCTGGTGATGAGCTGGAAGTTGCCCTCCGCCACCAGCAGGTACAGGAACGCCGCAAACGCCAGCGCGCCCGCAAACGACAGCCCATACGTCAGCTGGAGAACGGACGAAAGAAGGAACGTCAGAAGAAAACGGGCTGGGCCTGGGCCTGAACCTGGGGGATCCCTCACCTCCGTAATGAATCTGATGGTCTTGACGTCAGGTAAAAATATGATCTTGCTGCGCTCCGTATTTTAGGTATGCATGCTGGAGTTTGATGCTAGAGCGGCTACCTTCAAGAACCACATGTTTCCAGATCTCTAGCACGACACTACAGCATGCTCTATCACATAGCGGCCTCCTTGTCTTGCTCGGAACCGACAGAGTAGCGGCTTACCTGCATGAGGGCGTCGGTGAGGAAGGACGTGCCGTACATGACGATGACCTGCGTGAAGATAGCCGCCACCGCCCCTGCAGCCATCACCGGCGAGTGCATCACACGTCTGCGGCGAGACCTGCCCTCAGGCCACACAGTGACTGCACCAAAACCGCAGTAACCGACCTTCGGCGCAACTCGGCTCTCATACGTTTTCGAAACACGTGCAATCCGCTGATGTGAGTCAAAATCCAGGGGCAGCGGGGAGGAGCCAATTCCAAAGTGCCCATCGCAGTCACCTTTGACAGCCCTAGTGTGAGAGCCTGGGCAAAGCGCTGCTCACCGACAATGATGACCGACTTGTAGCTGAAGTATTCGGCGGCAGGCGCAGCCGCCACGGCGAAGAGCAACACGGTGAAGATGCTGACGGGGAAGTTGCGCGAGTCCACCACCTGGGGAGGAGCGATCCGCTGGAGGAAACCCCCCTGCAAGCACATTTGCAAGAACAGTTGAGAACAGACGAAACCTAAACTTGGTCTATCCAGGATTAGAGCAGAAGCCTGATGTATGCTTGATCAAGTGCATTTCCAAGGGCCAACGACAATGGTCGCACTCGCACTAGCTTTTCACCCTTGATGACATAACTATTGTAGACAGGGAAAATGACTCTGTTTTTCATATGGACTTGTTGCTTTTTTGCCACCCGTCCGCATGGGACCGCCAAACTGAAAAGAGGACGATCTGGTCTTGATGTCGGGTGAACATGCCACACACCGTTGTGTTTGCGGGCGGTGGGGCGGCGATGGCCTCCGGGGCCAGCTGCGTGACGCGGATGGCGTTGGCGAGCCCCCCGTCGTCCTTGAAGCCGTCCTCTGGCGCGGCGTGCAGGAACTGGATGAGCAGGTGGTGATCCGCCACCGCCGTCTTGGCGGTGTACGTGTATGCAGTCAGGCGGCCCCCCGCGCGCTCGACCAGGTCGATGGGCCCCTCCACGGGGTTATCCTGCACGCAGCAGGACAAGCGCTTAACGACTTGGCAGCACCAGATGTGTAGACGACGAAGTTTACTGACCATCTGTAACCCCTCTGCAACTCAGCACCTGTCACATATTGAGGCGTGTGTACCAAGCAGCTCTATTAACGCATGTCACATTCAGGCAGATCGTGGCGCTAGGTGCCCCAGACAGTGCGCTCACCTGGACCTGGATGTAGAAGCCGCGGTCCTTGGGCTCCTGCCACCAGCTCTCGGCCATGTCAATGGACACCTCATACAGGCCGTTCTCCAGGTACGGCAGCGTGTAGTTGAACGCGCCCCACCGCTCTGTCCAGTACAGCTGCGGGTCCGCCGTGTTGTTCACGTCCCCTTCGGTCAACCGCACACTGGTCCAGTTGGCGGTCGTGTACTGCGCGTTCTCCTGTGTGTAAAACCTGCCAAGCGCACCACATGATGGGTGAGCTCTCCAACTGTCCTGCGGCACATCATCAGAGACCTCCTAGCATGGATACACGGCCAAGCCTGAATCTCCACTCGAGGCGTCTCTCAGTATTTGCCCCTGAAAAGGTGCATTGTCCGGGCCACACTCTCCTGAGGGCCCATGATGATTTAACCGCAGGGCCTGCAGAAGTCGCCCCGCAGCAATCAAACATGTTGCACACACAATTGTCTACCCAGCTTTTTCGTCTGGGCTTCATGTTCTGCATGCTGACACTGGCGGGGCGGAGTGATGGCGCATCCCTCAACCATCACAGTACCCTGGCAAGAATGTCTAAGATCTGACCCTCACCCGTCGGGCATATACACCACCCCATCAGTGGCAGTGTACGCGTGGTCGTCGGCCACATTGAGGGCATACCCCTTCCTGTAGGCCTCTACTGGAGCAGGGGCGGGGGCGTGCGCCGCCAGGTATGCGCTCCGAGAGTATGTGGAGTGGGGCTTCAGATACTGCACGTGTGGATTGGGTTGAATTCACAGGATGCCAGGAACACATCACAAGCCGTCGATCAGCCATTTGCTAATGCATCTAGTCAGGAAGTGGAATTGTCGATGGTGGTGATGAACGTGACACAAACTTGCACGAGGATAGATTCCACGAGGATAGATTCGAAAATTCTGTAGTAACCAACGCAATCCTGAAAGCACCACATGTGAGCACAACGGGAAGAATACGACGTAGCAATCCGCGCGTGGTTGTACTCTTACCTGGACTGCATTCGGCTGCTGCGGCCGGATCTGCAGCAGGAACACAAAGGCCCCGAGCAGCAGCAGAATGCGCACCAACTGCTTGTCCAGGCCCAGGTTGGGGCGATCCAGGCCCAGGCGCTCGGCCGCGCGGTCAATGCCGCGCATCACGCTCTGCGCCGTGGCTGAGTCCTCCTCCATGGCGACAAGCTGCAGGTGGCGACACCATCACGCAGATCTAAGCAGTCTACTTGGAAGGAGCAACAATCGCAAGTGACATGACAGAGGCATCATTCACCGTGCGGACTACCATCAAGCCCGTATTTGTCGCAAATCCATGCTCAAACGTCCACCACCACACAAAAGTTGAGGCCCAGCGTGCCCTCAACTAGATCCATGTTGACTCCTGATGGTAGACAGGATAGGCATGTTAAGTGTGCCCAAGGGACCACCCCAAAACAAAATGTTGAACACAAGACACGACAACATTAAAATGATCAAGTCCCCTCTCTGTCAATGAGCAATAAACGAGAGGCGCTGGACAGCTTGCGTACAAAGTGGAGTCCAAACTATTGTCAATGAGCAACAACCTCTGCATATACGAACCGCACCAAAGCTCGAGGAGAAGCTATGATCCACCTAAACCATCTGACATGCAGGAGATCTGTGACCAGCTTCAGCGGACCGATCGACCCAATCTAAAGGGGAGAACTGCTGAGATTTGTCTTGGAAACTGCTCGAGGACACAACGCGAAGGGTCAGCATCATCCTTTCAAGTGAAAAACAGACTCAGTAAGGCACCGCTCATCTTGCTTCATCCCATGCTTCTGCAGCTACAAAGTTTGAAAAGATCTGGGTAGGTATTAGCAGACCGTACATACCTTGAGAAGCAAGCCTCCTCGGGTATGAGGAAAAGGCCAGACCCTCTACCGGAATGCCTCAGGGTTCTGGTCTACCTATGGGTAAGCACTTCAAAGCGGCCGGAAGCTCACAGCGTTTACCTGACTTCCTCGAGTCTCTCCGCAGTTGCATCTACCCAGGTCCTAGCTCATTGCTTCTCAGGAGGTAGGTGAAAGTAGTGAGTAGTGCAATGACTGTGCATGTGACTCAATCGCCTCCACTTGAACTTTGCACAATGCAAATTGCAACTCATGTCTCTTCCATCTGCACACTCGTGAGCGTTCTTTACGGAAAGCCGCACGATGTCTCTCTTTGACGGGTCCCGGGAGTACGAACATCTGCACGTGCCAAATCACACGTGAACTTTGGGCAAATCTGGAGAAGAGGTCTCTTCTCAAAATTCAAATAGGCCAATGGCAAAGGCTTCTTATGACACACAATTGAATGTCTATGTTCGTCGAAACTCGATGCATGTTGAGTTGCTTGCTTCCACAACCGTCAACATCAGTGACAGATCGTCTAAGTATGATTCCATGGTGTATTGACCGATTCCACTGCGGGCTCATGACCGGCACACTAGATCATGATGGCTACATGTCTGATTTGATATTTGAGATAATCTTGCAGTCCCAATGAGCACCTAGTATAGCCACTCTTAGCGAGGGCATCACTGTCACCCCGTGTCTGCCGGAGATCTTGTTCAGGCCATGGCCCAAAGTGCGTAAGGGCTTCGACGATGACATTTAAACATTGCATTGCTATAATGATGTAGTCAAACCATCATACACTATGGTACCTTGCGTCAGATTGATACCATTCTTCCGGTAAGTACAGGCTACATGTGGCTAGTCAAATGGGCAACTAGAACAGCACTAATTAGCCGGCGGAGCGTAAAGGTAACATGTTAAGGTGGCCAGAACGACACAGCATGTGTTACTACCTCGATGTACATGATGCAAAGCGCGGCACACGCTTGCAACATTCAGAAGAAAGATTGATGACGGAAAGAGACAATCGTAGACATATCAGGTTCGACGAGCTCAAGCACTGCAAATTAGATGATCCCGATCTTGTTTGCAATGTCTAGAGCATCGTAATCTGCCGTAAGCCGGACGTACGCCTTCTTCGCTCCATCGGGCCTGAAAAGCGAGCGGGAGTAGTAAGCATTGTCTGTCGACCAAAAGCAGGTCAAGAACAGGGAAAGTATGCAAATCAAGCGAATTGCCAGCTATTCTGCGGTCAGACTCCAATGAGTCTCTGGGACGCCATCCAACAAATCAATGGAAAAAAAACATCCACTCAAGTTCAAACAGAAAGCATCTTGGCGCACTGGGAGAAGAACAAAAACTGGCTGAATTCACCCACCTGATTAGTGTGTTGACCTTCCTTGTTTGGATGTCGTACATCTTCTTCACAGCATCCTTGATTTTCCTCTTGTCTGCCCTGATATCCACGATGAAGACCAGAGTGTTGTTGTCTTCAATCTTCTTCATGGCTGACTCTGTGGTCAGGGGGTACTTCAAAACCTGCGCAGCAGATTGCGCTACTCAGTACGAAGCTACTGAGCCAATCTCCTGGAGAAACCACTGACCACTGACCGGAGACAATTTCTAACACTCAGATACCATAATCAGCAGTGGGGGCTTGAACACAGCCTGGTTGTTTACTCTTCTTCTGTACAGAGGCTACAAGGCTAATGTCGCAACTGATGCTCGACAAAGACAGTCCTCACTGACTAGACCATCAAAGACCTCAGTCGCAACAGCTCCAATCAGCACTCAATAACCTGCGCGATAGCGTTCTTAGGATCAGCACAATCTTTGGAATCTCTGCAGACTGGTTGCTTGCGCGGCGGCGAGCTCGCGGCATACCTGGTAGTGGTCGAGCTTGTCGGGGCGGGGCGCGCTGAGCCTGGGGTACTTGGGGTCGCGGGATCTCTTGAGGGTCTTGGGCCGGTGGAAAGTGACCGACGTCCTGATCTTTCTGGTCTTCTTCTTGACCACCCCCTTCTTCAAGGCCTTAGCGGCCTTGGCAGCCTGTGCCTTGCTGCCAGTCGCCCCCGCTGCCATAACAAAGATCATGCGCCGTAAGCACAGAAAAAAGTGACACTGCTTGCGCTCAATATACTAAAAACTTACGAGTGGAATGAGAGGAGGCAACCACATAGACGAGGAACTCAGGATTCGTAGCGAAGCACGGATTCAGGGCTCCCACTACTTGTGCCTAACCAAATTGATGGGGGGCTTATGGATTTTGTCCCAGAATTCTAGACTAGAATGCAGCCTGACACAGACGATACAATAATAAAGAAGGTTGACACCTGTCACTTTCTCCGGCCAATTTGTGGGGCTTTGGTCGCTGCTTTTGATAAACATACACAGTTGGCGGGAAGCTTTTCAAAGCATACTAGGGTCCTCATAAAGATTCTGAGCGATTGAACTAGGCAGCCAAAGTCGACTTGGCTATTGAATTGAGAGCCCTCAAGCTGGGTGCCTGCCCCAGGGGTCAGATATCCACTGGCAACTGATCCAGTTTATCCTGGAAGCCAACGGCATGATCCCATAGGCGAACGACACCAGCAGCAGCTTAAACAAAATGCACACTCTGGCTACCCAAGGGCAAAGGCCTTGCACGGACCCTTAGTGCAACAATCCTAAACTTTAGGTTCCACAAACAGAAGCCTGCCCGATTACAAAGAAGCATTTGCCACCCCTTAAGTTCCAGCCTTAAATCCAACCTAAGAATGATCCGACAAGCCAACAACTGATTGGCGGAAAAGCGACAAAGAGCAACCAGCTTTACCATTACCAAGCCTACAAGATATCTTTGGACCATTACCATGAACATTCCAACACTCTGCTTTGCATAAGCAAGCGTTGAGGACGCTGAGTATTTCGAAGCGATACTTCAACTTAACATGGATGCCCACAGGCATCCCTTTCATGAGACCTGACCAACATTAGAACAATCGGCCCATCTCAAAAGTCAGGTATTGGTGCCAATCATGCTCCCATTTCCCGATGAATGGGGCACTCATAACCCATATGCGAAATAGGTGATGCCCCCGGTTCCATGCTTATGCTTCAGAGAAGCAAAAGCGGCTCACAGCCCCAGTCAAAAACCCGGCGTTTCCCAGCTTTTGATGCACAGCTTCTGATGCAGAGGCCTCCAGAGCAATCGTCAACAGAGCAGCGGCTTTCTTGCAGTGCTGCCGTTTGCCATCGTATTTGAGGAATGGGGACCGAAAACCATTTTACACGTGTAGCACCGGCGCATCCAGAAGCACATCGATTGTTACAGAGGCGTACACGATGCCTCACCTTTGGGAGGTGCCATTGCGTCTGCCCCTGGCGTCTACGTCTCTTCCCCCGCTCCAGAAAACCGCCTTGCCGCCCAGCCCCAGGAACGACCAGCTGAAGAGGAAGAAGATGAGGCCCTTCGAGGGGAGGTCTGATGGGGGGCACCAGTTTAGAATGAGTGCACAGCTTCGACTCGAGGAGTTCTAATCGGCGGTCCCAACTCCATTGGCCCGAAGACGTCTCAAGTCTCGATCATTCTCCAATTCTCATTCTACAATCCGGTCTGCATACCGGTACACAGCTTGAGCTGGGTGCACCAACCTCGCAGAGTTGGAACTCCGAGTCTCTGCTGGCACCATGATCTTAGGCTGGTTGCAGAGCTTCAACCTTCAGAGCTTTGTATTTGCAGGGACCACTTCCACTCTCAGTGGTTGGGCACAGACGCTGGCAGGAGTGAGCGGACCAATTCACAGGAGCTCGTATATGAGTAATTCTGGAATGGAGGTGTTGGGAGTAACATTTGGCTGGGCGTGAGTCCAGCGGGGGAGGACTTTCAGCATTCGCAAGACGCTGGCTGTCACTTGACCTGCTGACTTTCCGACACAAACATTGTGCTCAGTAGCTGGAAGTACCTTGGTGGGCAGATATGTGCAAGGAGTTTGTCAAATGAAACGAGGGATAGCTCATGTGACAAGGGTTGAGGCAGGTGGACACGCCATAAAGGCATTTCTTTCTTTCCAATTGCGTGTGCTGAGAGTCGCCCATTGATGTCAACCGCAAGATCCTTCAGCTTGGTGAGTACGTCACAACAAGGCAACTTCTATGAATTTGGTGCGTGTTCCAGTGAGCAATTGTTTGGTGGACTCGTGAAGTGGTCGGATAGTCAATCTGGTTGAAACATGTGCTGCAACAACCTGAATGATTCGCATTGGTGGCATCTTTGTATAGGATGCTTAAGCTTCAGCTCTGCCACTTCAGCAATTAGCACTTCAACACAACCGCAATGCTGGTCGGGCAATCTAGTTTGCAAGACGTTTATTGTCGACGATGTCGTGTATCCTGTTGTAGTCTGCCGGGATTCATTTATCTTGGAAACATCCATCGGAGTAGGGTCGCGCAATAAGTGCTATCAACGTCTAGCATGATCTTCTTACAAAGATCGATGACATGGACTATATCAGTCCCCTCATCCTTCTATTATGCAGGCTAGGCTGGCGGGCACAAGTGGGGCAAGCCCACCGTGATGCTGGTCAGAAGGCTAGCTAGTGGAGGAAACGGCATCTCCACCCGGAACCAAGGCAGGCACGGGGATGGCAGCAGATGGCAGCCGGCCGGATCGCTCGATTCTCTGGGAGGGGGCCGTGCCGGTGGCGCCGGGGCTGGCCTACCTGGGGTCTACGAACGCGGGGTTCGATCCGCAGGTTCTCAAAGATCGGCATGTGCCGATCTTTGAGATGCCCCCCGGCTTCTTCCCCGCTCACCACAAGCACGGGCCCCCTCCAAGCGCTGCCGCTACGACAAAGCCGGGAAACTCCAAAGGCCCATCTGGCAAGGCAAAGAAAGGAGGCGCCAAAGCGGCGGCCAAAGCGTCGGAGGCTAGCGGGCCATTGCAAAGCAAGCCTGCTGCTGCCCCTGCTCACCATGGCAAGACGCCCTCTAACGGGCCACCGAAGCCTGCTGTGTCTGAGTCAGCTGAAAGGTCGGACTCGGGCACGCCTGCGAGCGTTCCCTTTTCGCAGCCTGCAATCCAGGCTCGGAAGCTGACGGAGAGCGAGGCGCGTGAACTGGAGAGGCAAGCTGCGGCGACCAGGATCGACTACAGCAAGTGGGCGGCCATAGTGGACAGCGACGATGAGAGGAGCGGAGGGGGGGGGGTCGGGGCAGGACGAGGGAGGAGCTTCGGACGATGAAGTGGACGAATACGGCTGGGTGTTTGACGAGGATGTGGGGCATAACGTGTGGTCCACAACGGGCAGGACGATCAAGCGCAGCGAGGCAATCGCGCGCGGCCAGACGGTCTGCCGGCCAGGAAAGGGCGGCAAGGAGAAGCGGAGGAACTACGTGATGCCAGAGTTTGGGAGTGTGGACTTCTTTGAGCATATGGCGAGGTGGAGCATGTCAGCAGAGGGGAAAGCCGCCCTTGCCGCGCAGGCACAGGCCTCAGACAGAGGGCCCGACGCGGATGAGGACCACGAGGAGGGGGCCAACACTGAGGGGGGAGGGAAGCAGGGGCAGGCGAGTAGCAGAAGTCAGACCGATGGAACCGCGGCAGCAAAGGGGAGGCCAATCGATTACAGCAAGTGGGACGCGTTTGAGGACAGTGATGACGAGCGTGAGAGGGCGGCGGCGCAAGGGAAGGGGTGCTGCCGGCACTGCAAGTGCTGCTACCCAGACGGGAATGACTCGGACTCGGAGTGCAGCGACGACGGGCATGACCACCGCCACCGGCAAGTGCACACAGTGCCGGGGAGGACGCGCGACGATTCCCCAGAGCCGCGCAGCGATGCCGCTCCCAAGACGCGGGGGCGAGGCATGCGAGGTGTTGGGGGTAGAGGAGCGGGGGAGCCGCCTCCGTCTCGTGCTCCACGGGCTGGTCTCGCGAGTGTCGGCGAAGGTTCGAAGCATGAGAAGGAACGCGCTGTGGGGATTAAAGAAAGTGAGAGCGCAGCCAAGAAGCCGGGCCTCAAGGGCGGCTTCTTTGCGCCCAAGGCCGCAGCAAAGGCAACTGAAGAAGCGCCAGGGAGGAGTGGGAAGGAGGCGGGGGATGCGGGTTCGCAGAAGCCGTCTGTGGACGACCTGCGGATCTATCACAAGCTGGGGGGAACTGCGAAGCCCTTGACGGCCTTCCCGCTCAAGAGTCCAGAGGAGCAGGAGAACTGGTGGATGTACATTGTGAGACTCGCCGGGGCTGACCATCAATCTTCCGTCTGTGCCTTTCGAAAAAGTCCAAGTTTAACACACCAAATCTGCACAGCTGGAATGTTCCGATTTCTTGTCAGGGCGCCAGTCGTTCTTGCCCACTTCATCCTTTCCTATCTGCTTTGCGCAACAGATGACGACCGCTCTGCACGTATTTGACAGTAAACTCGTGCTGACGTCCATGGACGTACTACTTGTGATTCTTCCCGGATAACCACACCGTGCGAATGGTCGTTCGTTCATAACTGACGTGCTTACGAGTTTCCACCTGATGCAGCATTCGGACGGCCGGCTCTACTTCGTGCGTGCTGGCAGCTCCGGGCTGGGCACGTGGTGGAAGCCGGAGGAGCTGCTCGACGTCACTGAGGCCCCGACGGGTGAGCTTCCGCCAGCATGGTGGAAGCTCAAGCAACTTGACGCTCTGAACCCATCTATGCACTTGCGTCTTGTCTCAGCATGGAGACAATCAGGGCTTTTGCAGTCGCTTTCAATAGTGTCAGCTTCTTAGCGAGGAGTGTGTTTGCCCCATTCCTTCGTTGCCTTGAGCCTCTTATTTTCACCGAGATCGATCTCGTGTTGAACGATAGCTTTGTGGGCATCCGCCCATCCCCGCCCCCTCCTCTCGGCCCAGTCTGCGCCCCTTGTGCCCCAGCCACTGACGTAATCGCATGTGTCCGGCGCAGGGTGGCAGGAGCTGTACGACAAGACGGGCCGCGTGTATTACTACCACGCCGCCTCGGGCTGCTCGCTGGACACAATTCCCGACGACCTGGCCGTGGCGCGCTTCTCGTGGCCGGGCCGGAACGGCAGCGGCCCCCGAATGGACCTCATGGCGGAGGCGGCCTGGCACGACATCTGCAAGCACGCGCGCGGGGCGGCCACGCGGGTGAGCTCGCGCGGGGGGCGGACATGCAAAGCTGAGCCGGAGGGGGCAAGGCTAACCCAGGATACTCTCAAGATGCGATCATACACCTACTCTCTGGCCGGCTTTGCGACGGCGTGCTCGATCATCCCAGTTTCGCTGCATTGCTCTCATTTGCTGGCCCAAAACGGCGGGAGCTCCGACTGAGTGTGGTGTGTTTCAATCCGCAGGAGGAGGCTGCGGAGCGCGCAATCGCGTCCATGCGCTTCTCGCGCTTCTTCCCCGCGGGCCTCGACCCCGCGTCCTTGCCGGGCCTGCAGGACACCATCCGCAAGCGCATGCACGCCGAGTGGCCCGCCTGCTGCGAGGAAGGCGAGCAACCGGGGTTGCGCTGCCCGGTCGGCAAGCTCACCGACTTCCCGCCTAAGTTCCCGGAGAGGCACCACCAGTGGCTCTCCTATAAGGTGGGGGCGCCAGTCGAGACTGCGGGGCGTCTTAAAGTCCCAAGGGAGAGGCAACCCTTCTGGTATCTGCTTCTGTCCGGACGGATGATCAGCACTTTGGAGGGGCCCTCACGATTCTTTGCTTGTCTCGTTGTTCTGCAGTTCGCCCTGGTTCTTCAGTCGCTTGACAATCGTCACTGCCGGTGCCTGAGGCTCAGGCAACCCATTCCGGCGAGAGGACCCACGTCTTGCAACACAGGACATCCGTTACGCTCTGAATTGCACCCAAGGCCATTGCAATTACTGCTTGTAACAGCTGCGTGTGTGTGTGGCTGTGTGCAGCACGCAGAGGGGCGCTTCTACTTCGTCCACACCGACGACCCCGGCCCCGGCACGTGGTATCGTCCCGAGGACCTGCTCGACATCCCCGAGTACATCACCGGTGCGTACGTGGGGCAGCCGGCACCAGGGGGATCCCCCATTCCAGGACAAAGTTTATATATACGTGGGCTGCGTTTCATTGGCATATTTTCGAGCCATCCTGTTCTGGCTGGTGCCCTATCTTCTGTATACCGCTGATCTCTTACCTTGCATTCTCGGCGGTGCCCTGACGTGTGTTTCGTGGTTGTCCCAGGCTGGCAGCAGGTTCTCGGCACCGGCCCGGGGTCGATGTCGTACTACCACGTGGACGAGTGCCGGAGCCAGAAAGCCCTTCCTGCCGTGCTGGCCAAGGCGCGTCTGCTGCAAGAGCACTGCCCCTTCTTGACACCCCACCTGGCCGCGCGCAGGTTTCCGGCCTTCCTGAAGCATATGGAACAGGCCAAGACAGAGGTGCGGTGACCGATTCTGCACTTCGTCCTTGGTTTGTGACTTTAGTCTGGTACTGTACGTTCTGCTCCAGTAATTAGGATCGTAGAGCAGACGGTTCCAGCAGTATCTCTTGGTAATTACTGCAGGAGTAGCAGACATTTGAAACTTTTCTGCGTCGCATTTCTTGATGCCCTCATATGGTGGGATAAGTTCCGTTGAAAGCTTTTCATCCGCGATGTCGAGCATCAACCAGGTTATCTCTCGCAGCCTTCTGGAGGAAACCATCAAGCCCGCTCTTATGAATGCGACAAGCTTTCAGCGACTGGCCTTCGCGGCCATTTTCCCCAGCAGCAAACGCCCAGAAAGCCAAATCTTGTGACAAGCCAAAGATGCGATCTGCCGGCTGTGCAGGCGCACGCGGAGCGGCTCGCTGCGGAAGCTGTGGCGAAGTATCTGAAGGTTCCGCCGCCGTCCGTACCCAGTTCTGTACCTGACCCGCGGCCTCAGAGCAGCGGGAGCCAAGCACACGGCAGTGAGCGCAAGACTGCTGACAACAGCTCAGGGCCTTCCAACGGGAGTCAGCGCAAGGCGGCCGCTGACGGCAGCAAGGCGGCACCGGCGAAGCAGGGCGGGACTTCGGGGCCGCGGTTTAGCGTGGAGAATTTCCAGCTGACACGCTACCGGCGGATGCAGGAGCAAGTTTACCACGACTGGCAGGCCTACAAGGTGCGCCCCCCGCTGCAAAGCACCCGACTCTCCGCTGTTGCTCGTCCATCGCTCTTCTTTTGATTTTGCATGAGCGGACGTAAAGTAGGCACTTTTTTTGTCTGTGTCCAAGCAATGCTGCGAAGCAAGAAACCTGCTCTGGTGTCGTCAAACGTTTATGTCAACGATCTTTCTCCCGATCTTGCCGTTGCACGTAGATTATTTGGCAGTCTGAGTCTGATGGTTTGCTCGTCGGTCCGCTGTGCAGCACGCAGACGGGCGGCTCTACTTTGTGCGCGAGGGCGACCCCGGCCCCGGCACGTGGCGCAAGCCGTACGACCTGCAAGACGCCACAGAGGGCCTCTCGGGTAAGCGCTTCAACCTTCTAAATCGCGAGTTTGTTTGCGTTCTGCCTAGCACACGCGCAAGGCTGCGTGTACACCGCGTCAGCTGGCCTATCGGTGCTGGGCTGCTCTAGCGATCCAATCGAGTTTCGCTTTCTTGCAACGAACCGTCAGAGTTAGGCAGAACTTTACCGAAGGTGTCTCAACTTCAGATCAACTTCAGATCATGATACAAAGCTCTGCACTATGATGACCGTGGGTGTGCTGTGCGCACGTGCAGGGTGGCAGGATCTGACAGACGCGGATGGGCGACCGTACTACTGGCACGACGGCCAGCAGCGTCGCTCAACCGCGCTCCCCGAGGAGCTGCGGCAGGCACGGGACCTGGCGGACCGAGAGTCGGGGAATTACGGGCCACTGCCCGACCCGGCAGAAGTGATTGACCTCATGCTCACAGCCAAGACGGTGAGGGGTCATTCGCTGGGTCCTCACGGTGATTTCGGTTGCGGATTGTTTACTGCATGCAGCATCTGCTGTTTGTAGACCATGAATTGCCGTTGGCGAATTGTACGCCAGGGCTGCTCAGAGCACAGTGTGCTAGGAATCAATGTCGACGGCTTGCTTCTCGAAGAAGTTGGCTCCGTTGCAAACGTGCATGCAGCCTGATCTATTGTTTCGTGTGCCTTGGCAGCCCGAAGATGTCACGGAGGGGATCATGCGCGGCGCACTGACGGCAGGCATGACCGAGGCGGACAAAGCGGTGATGCACCGGCTGGTGGCGGCCAAGATGGCGGAGAAGTGGCCCGAGGTGCAGGCAGCACAGCCCAACCCCGCACCCGCCCGGAACAGAGCCCCGGGGGCCAACGCGACGCCCAGCGGGGCGGCCGCGAGGTCCGGAGCGGCTGACGGGAAGAGCGGGAAAGCGGGGGCGCAGGCTGACGTCAGCAGAAGGAAAGAGGACGCCAACGGGAGGCGAGATGGGGCGGTCAAGGGGGCCGCCGGGGCGGGGACAGCGACGAGCAGCGGGGCAAAGGCGGGGACAGCAGGCACGACTCCCTCGGACGAGGACGCGGCGGCGGGCGAGGATGCAGGGGAGGGCGGGTACCGGGTGGGGCCGGGCGGGGAGCGCGTGAAGGTGTGCTGGAGCTGCGGCAAGGACGAGACGGAGGCCGGCAAGTTCAAGAAGTGCGACGCGTGTGCGCGGGCGCGCTACTGCTCACGTGAGGCCGCCCCTCCTGCGCAAAGCCACCCAATGTTGTCAAGACGTCTGCGTCATGGAGCGTATTTCGGTGCAAGCAAGAGTCACCAGCTTGCAAAAGTCCGGTCAATCCTGTCTTGCTTCCTTGCTCCCCAGCTTCTGTTCTGAGTGCCATCCATCTCTGCCTCAAAAATGATGTTTAGTTGTTCATCTTAACTGTCTCCGTCCACTTATGCTCCAAGTCGCGGCCACTGAGGAAGGCTTGCGCCACATGGTCGGACTAAGCGGAGTACCTGGCAAGTTTTTCCGAAGTCGACAGATGTAAGCCGCTTTCAATGTATGTGTGCTGTCTTGGCTGCAGGCGATTGTCAGCGCGACCACTGGAGGTCGCACAAGGACGTGTGCAGAGAATGGGCGGCGGAACGGCTCAAACGAAAGCTGGCAGCCAACAACGGATGAACGCTGTTCGGAGCTGCACTGCTGGTTGGTGCTCGGAAGATCGTAAAAAGAGGTTTTATTGGTCGTCAAGACACAATTATTGGTAGGGGTTGATCGAGGTTTTGATGTAACGTCGTTCCGACGCACCAGATTGCTGATTACCCGACTTTAGGTACTACGGTCCGGCCCAAAATCGTTGTCCCATCGAGGATGATGAAATAGACACTCGAGAACACAGCATATGCATGGGCAATCTGGGTCGGGGCCGCTGCTGTGCAGCTTGCGTGCAGCCGTCGGCGCCAATGAATCCATGTCGATGGTCATGAGGTGCCCTCCGACATGCCACCATGTCGGCATGCCATGACATCAGGCTTGACAAGCTAAGCGAGTCTTAACGTCGGCCCGGGCGTTGATCTACTGAGCTGTGGGGCGTCATTAACTTATATACATTAATGTATATATTTGTAGCTGCCGCGGCCGGGCGCGGCCGGCGCCCGCGGCCCTCAGCTCGATTCATACTAAGCTTAGCCCGATCGACTTAAGTGTTTCAATCATACCTTCTGCCCTTTTTGTGGTAGGTGCTGGCGGCTCCCGCGTCGGATCAGTATACGCACACATGCAGCCGCGCTAGCTGCAATTGATCTGATCCTGCGATCGTTGCATTGCAGGCACGGCCCGCTGCGGGCCGGACGTAGTGCCACCCGGGCACCAATTTGGAATTAGTACGTCTTGTACAACTTGTATACCATGCCGCCATGTACGGTACGTATACATGGTCACTAAGTTCTTTCCATACATCGATGTCGCGCGGCTGCAGCTTTCGAGGATAAAAGCATGCAACCGAGTGCATGCGCACCGGCCATATGAGCTTCCGATGTTCCGGACCCCGGGGCCACCGGCAGCCGTGAAGGTTCCTTGACAATATATTAAAGTCACCGCTTTCATAAGATAATGGGTGCAGCTTGTGCCCGGGGCCGGTACATATAGTCACGCTGACGAATTATAAGACTGATCATTGCTCTTGAACTGCTCAATGAAGCAATGTTTTGTGGAAAGTGGTTGCATGCCGCCAGACTCGAATTGGAGCATCAAGGAGCTTGCAAAGGCCAATCCCATGCATCCAAACGGAGTGGGCAAAATGTATACTAACGAGGACCTGGCACCTGACACAATTGCGATCGGCCATAGCAAGAAAGAACAATGACTATTTATCCGTTGTTGCACAAAAGAAACACCGCAACCCCCAATGCAAACGTCCCCGCAAGCAAGCCGGCCCCAAACAGTTTCGTCCTTCCATCCGGCGTCCCCGTCTCTTCCAATCCTATCCGCGTTTTCCTTTCCAAAATGTCCCGCACTCGGTCCATGTCCCCATCCTTGGCCGCTTTCCGCAGCGCGTCCTCTCGTTGCAGCCTGTTCTCTTGCCGTGGGCTGGTGGCCCGCCAGAGCATGACCCCCACGAAGCAGCCCAGCACGACGTCCACCGAGTAGTGGTGCCGCTCGCGCACCTCGCGCATGCCCGAGTGCGCCAGCAGCGCCCACACCGCAGCGCTCGTCCAACCGGGATACACGTCCTGCAGCGCAAGACTTAATACCCTTCACTGAGTCTTAAACGAAGGCGACCAACATTTGCGACTGCTGTAAACTCTCCTCGTGGTGAGTCCGTTTAGGTGATGCAGGTCGAAGGCAAAAACGGCTCATCACAGATGAAGCGAAGCCAATTCACAGAAGCAGCATCTGCTCAACCAGTAAGGGTCGTTCACAGATGCAACTATTTGCTTCCTGAAGGACGCCTTAGCCTCAAAGCAAAGCCCAGATACCGGTCTCTTTCATAGCGAAGCACCCCACATAATACCAGAGACCTGCAGAGTCCACTTAGCTCATCACTTTGCTGGTGATATCAGGATAAACATGGTTACACGCACTCACCTGGAAGGCTGCCGCAGTGAGGGCGGCGACCAGCATGTGGCCGCTGAAGACCAGGTCGTTGCAGCCGCCCCCCGCCCGCTTCAGCGTGGTGAACCAGTCGTCGCTGGACTCGGGCGTCGGGCGCAGGAAGGGCGCCAGGAACTGGAGGCGGCCCCACGCAGGGACGAACTCGGGCGGGGACTCCGAGGGCGGGGCTAGCAGCGGGATCAGGAGGTGCGTCAAGCGGAGTTAGAATGAGGCATCCAGCAAAGAGATATGAGCAGGCCCCGCGTGGCGGCGACGAGAAGCTGCAAGCGTAAGGAAAGTAAGAAGTGCTACCCAGCGAATCCAAAAGAATTTCCGGATTTCTTATGCGCGTGAGGGTAGATTGTATACATTCAATCATCCTTGCAGTCGCAGGTAGTAGGTGCCGTTTGACGACGAGATACTCCGCTACGTGACCGTTGATGCGCTATAAGAGTGTACTGCAGCTGACCTGCAGCGCGGTGGTCCTTGAGGAGGCCCCACAGCGCCATCTGGTCGTGGGCATACGGCAAGTGGTACTGTTGGGCCCAGGGGGACGCGTGGGCGGGGACCTGGAAGCGGTGGGGGCCGCACCTGCAGCAGCCACAACCGATCAATCAAGGCTTGTAAAACTCTATCCTCCGGGACTTATTGAAAAAGGAGAGACCTCGACTGATGCGTCCCAAAACGCTCCATTGCAGGGCGGATGCAATAAAACCAGCCCCACGAGCAGGTTCAGAAGAGTCTCCTTGCTTAGAAGCCGATAAATCTTAAATGATAACCCCGAAATTCGTAGAGCCCACTACCCCAAAAGCATGCCTTGCGGCACAGCGCAGCACTGACCAGGGGCGTGGCGAGGGCAGGATGGTGCCCACGAAGGCGAGGGTGCGCAGGAGGCGGCCCCAGGCCATGGCGCGCATGTACTGGGCGCCAATGTGGACGCCGGGGCGGGGCGTGCAGCCCCACAGGGTGGAGAAGCACAGCATGAGGAACAGCGCCAGAAAGTGGTGCAGGCCCAGCAGGGGGGCGCGCAGCAGCGCTGTCACGGGGGCCGGCAGGCGCTCGTCCAGGGCCTGAAACAGCCACTGCAAAGAGACAGGGAAAGGGTGAGCTGGGAGATCAGTGGGCGGTTCCAAATTGGGCAAGGCAAGGTTTTAACGAAGAAACAACTTTAGGACGATTTCAGAGTTTGAGTGTACTATGAGAACGAGCGACGACGTTGCAGGGTGGGTTTGGGTACTGTTTGAGTGGAGCAAGCAGTTGACTGAGGGAGGAGAGCTGTATTCATGCATTGGGGGCCACGTACCTGACCCGTATCGGGGAGTGGGGGCTGTGACCTGCACAACCAAATGCAAGCAGTTGGGAGAAGCTGTGCCACACTCATCTCCAGAAAGCGTAAATCAAGTATCTTCCACATTCATGAATTGCCGGAGGTTCCAAAGTATCATTTGTCCGCTTGTGTGCCCCTGATTCTGCTGGACTCACCTGTGCCAGTCGAGGCCCATGAGCGCTGTCACAAAGTGCACCCCAAACACGGCCTCAAATGCCAGGCTGGCCACCATGAAGAGCATGGACAGCAGGAACAGCGGCACATGGCGTGCTTCCTGGGCCCAGCCTTCGTACGCAGGGATTCTGGATCAGAATGACAAGCGTGGATCTCATTGTCTGAATTCGCAAACAAGGTGAAGGCAAATCTGAAAGCGGCAGCACTGAAGAGGGTCCCTCTAAGACTTCCGTTGTCTCAAGTCCAAAAAAGGGGAACGGCAATGTAAGGGCCCACCAAACCCTAATTCTCGACAAGTCTGTATGAGCAATCAGGAAAGCAACATGGTGCCCATGCAGTGTTGCAGGCTTTAAAAGCTTATTGCTGAGGTCTCAGCATTATGTTCTTGCTGAAGTCTTAGTGGGCGCCCATGCCAGCGTTTGCTCACCTGCTCAATGCTGCGCACCCTAGGATTGCCCACACCCCGATTCGGACGTAAGTTGCCCAGGTGGCGGGGAGCCAGGGCAGCTGGTCCACCACAAAGTCCAGAAGAAGGTAACCGAGCGCCACCGGCCCTAGGAAACCATGAGTTGATTTTGGGCGGCCTTTCATCATTCTGAAGGTCTGATAGGAAAATGAATGGGGCCCCAAGATGGACCAAAAAAAGCATAGTCTTGTGTATCACTGCGCTTGAGCCTTGAGGCTTGAGGTCTTGCCTCACACAATGCCTCACACATGTCACTGTAAGCTGTTAAGAACAGCACAATGCACACGCAGGCTGGGGCCTGTCTTAACCAAACCCAAACCAAATCGGGTTCCGCCCAACAAAAGCTTCACGCTGTACCGTACGATGATAAGTACGGGGATTTGAAGGCCTTGATTCTGGCGGGTGTTTGAACTTTCAAAATTCAGGTTTACAAATTCCTGGTGCCTCTGCAGGGTCTGCACAGGACGTTCCCGTGCAGAGCTCAGATCGAGAGGCAGTCTTCAAAGGACTTCTCTGGTCATGCGCAGTGTTTGTTGAGCTGGCTCCTAGTGCCTAGCAATGGAAAGCTGGCGGAGCAGGCAACATTGCATGGTTGGAAAGTCAGCCGTATGGTACGCTGGCGGGTCACAATCCATAGAAGATTGCCCATGCCAAGATTTTCTAGAGCACTTTAGCGATAAAATGCTGGTTGCTTTTCAGCGCTGCTCAAAGCTGATCATGGCGGAAGCTCATTGAGATCATGCTGCTGAGCAATCTGGACTACAGTGCTAACCAAGGTGGTTGACCTAAAAATTTGCAGCATCCATTTTTGAAAAAGCAAAGGGGAAGCTGAGCAGGAAGTGTCAAAAAGCTGTGATTGCTGAAGTCACATAATCTAGCAGTTGTCCACCTGACCCAAGATGGCGGCTGCAGAGGAGCACGAGGACGATTGCGACACCAGGCCTCCAATATTTGAAGGTGTCCGCTTTGCTCTGCTGGGCTATGACGCTGTGCACGCAGCAGAGGTCAGTCCCTTCAGCCGTGATGCTCCTCTTTGGAGCTCGCCGCCGACTGATTATGATCTTTCACTAGTTTTTGTTATATCCACAGGGGAGTGAGTTCTGTACTTGAACTGCTTGGATTCTGCAAAACCAGGTACTGAGAAGGCAATCCTTGTTGATAACATTGATAACATGGACCATGAAACGTCCATAGCCTCTTACAGTCATGAGCAAATCTGTGTTTGTGTTTGGGCAGCTGCGGTCCCTGCTGGAAGGTGAAGGGGCTCAAGAGGTGGTCGATGCAAGCGAGGTGCCCCCGGGCTGCACACACCTGATCACAGCGTACAACTATGACGATCCTGCCTGCCTTTCGGCCAGGCAGGCAAAGGTCGTGGTCGTGCGAGCACTTTGGGTGGAGCACTGCATGAGGCACGGGCCGGTTAGCCCCCACCGGGTGAGACCATGATTCCTTTGCAGGGGCCCGCGCTTTTTTCCATACTGGATGTCATTCTCCAACCTTGTTCCAGGGCACACATGTCGTTGTGACTACCGCACTCTTTGGAAGAGAGCTCCCAGCCTACAGCATTCATTTGAGAGGAGCTCAAGCAGAACTTCCTGCCACGTCAAGCAGCAGCATTGACTCATTTCTCGGTGGCATTGCAGGTGGTGTACCAGCCCCCCCGCCCATCCGCCCCACTTGCTGGGGCGGCCTCGCTGCAGATCAGCCTCACGGGCTACAAAGGCATCTACCGCACCACTATCATGGTACGTGAGACTTCGCAGCCATTTCATCGCCCGCGATGGGTGCAGGACAGCAGATGCTGCAAATAAGTGAACGTTTGCGTCCTAGTGACATTGCTCAGACTCTCAGATCATGCCCTGTCGAGCCTTGCAGGCGCTGTGTGAGCAAATGGGTGCGGTGTACACTAAGGAGCTGTCCGCGGGCAACACGCACCTCATCTGCTACGAGTTCAAAGGTCAGGAGCGCACTTCTCACGAGGCTTTGCCGTCGTTATTTGTGCTACCAAGAGTGGCTGCATAGATTCATGGAAGCAGACTGCTTCCTTGAACATGTGGAAGCTGCAGAAGCCCGGGACTATATTTGCAATGTCTATGTCTAGCAGTCAGCTCCAAGGTGTGGATACACCCATTCCCCTGCCTGCAACTCCTGTTCTGCGCTGTTTGCATCCAGCATTCTGCATGCTACCAGATTTCCTTGAACTTTATCTGCAATGCTGCCCTCTCCGCTGCCCTGACCGCGGCTTTCAGTATGAGCCTCTCTCGTGCTGTGTTTCCAGGCGAGAAGTACAACTTTGCGCGCGAGCGTGAGCTGCACCTGGTCAACCACCGCTGGCTGGAGGACAGGTGAGGGCACCAAGCTGCAATCCCTTACCCTCCGACAGCAGAACACGGGTAGAGAAGAGATGCAGAATGAAGAGTTTGAATTCTCTGGTCAAGCATGCGTTGTGCGCAGCTCAAAGGGCCTCGTCTGCCTCGCAACCCCACTTTGTGGTGCTTGTTTGACCCTCTCTGTCTGCTTCTCTGTCTCAGCTTGCGCCTGGGTGCCCTGCAACCGGAAGAGCACTATACAGAGCTCAGGTATGCCGCACCCCCACAACCTCTTTTCAGCATTGAACCTGCCCAAAATGACAGAAAGCGCGAATCCTCGAGTAGCCCCAAACGCACCTCTTGCGTGCGCTTCCCTTTTTGACAATGGTCAGCCTTGATTCAACCGTTCCAGTACATGTTAGGGGTCTTCACCCATCTGAGTGGGTTTCCAAAGCTTGTAATTCGCTGGATTCTATTTACTCGCTTAGCCGCTGTGTTGTGTTGATACAGCGGTCAGGAGGTGGAGGCTGCAGAGGAGGCGGAAGACCCAGCTGCGGAAGACGAGGCAGCGGCACAGGAGAAACAGTGCAAAGCAGAAGGTGAGGTGACAGGGGATGAGCGCCATGAGACGGCAGGAGAGGGGGTCACTGGCGGCACAGGAAATGAAGCTGAGCCCATGCAAGAAGATGACGACGGGGGAAATATGCAGACTGAAGAAGAGGCACTTCAAGGCAACGTCGAAGAGGGCTCGAAAAGTGGAGGCCCAGCGGAGGAGAACGTCGGCAGTGTGAGGCCCGAGCGGCGGGAGGGTTGGAAGGCTGCTGGGGCAACGGTGCGGGTGCAAAAGGGGCTGGGGTATCTGGCGGGCAGCGCACAGCCCCCTGGGTGGGAAGAAAAGGAGAGGGGCACGAGCAGGGGCAGCCCGAAGGGCGTGCAAAAGTACCTGGACGAGATGTCGAGTCTTGCAAGCGGGGGCGCAGAAAAAGGACCTCTGGAAGGAGGGGGGTGGGAAGAAGAGGGCGGAAAGGACGAGGACGTTTCATTTGCCAAGATGGGGCTGACGGAGAAGACGGCAAAGAGTGCTAACGAGGAAACGATCAAGGGGGCAGCTGAACCGGCGGAGCCGATGCGCAGTGTGCCTGAAGGAGAGGCAGCGGCAGAGGTAGAAGTAGGACCAGCTGTTGGGAAGGCAGGGGGCGGCAGGTTGAAGAAGGTGGGTGAAGCGGCCTGCCTGACACCAGTCGTAGAAAGTGGGGGAGCAAACGGCGTGGTGCCCCTGGAAGAGGAGGAAGAGGAAGAGGGGGGCCCAGCGCAGGCCAGCAGCAAAAAGGGGAGAAAGCGGGGGAAGAGAATCTTACTGGAGAGCGATGAGAGCAGCCAAGAGGGGGCCGCTGATGCAGCGACACATGAGCCCACAAGACCAGAGGCAGCAAATGAGGAGCAGGGGGAAGAAAAGGAAGACGGTATGGCAGAGCCGGTGCAGGGACCCGTGCAAAGAGAGCTTGCAGATGAGGGGGGCAGCGAGGGGTCAGGCGACGAGGCAATCGCTTGTCTAGCCAAGGGGAACAAGCGGAAGAAAGTAGGGCAAGGACAGCAAGGGACGGCCAAGAAAGCAGCGGCTAACAAGAGGAAGAAGAAGGGGAGCGAAGCCTCAGGGGCTGAGTGTGAGCAGGATTCTAGGTCAGAAAGGGACGGGACAAAGGGAGGGTCAGCCAATGGAGATGAGGCGGTCATCGCGGAAGCCTCAGAACGGAAGCAGGATGAGCAAACGGGGGCCATGCCTGAGCAGGGCCAGAGAGCAAGTAGCGCAGGGGACGAGCAGGAAGCACTAGTTGGAGAAGAGGCCGGTCAGCCGGCTGAACCGAAGCAAGACGAGGAAATGGAAACGGAAGCAGCAGGGGAGCCAAAAAGCGCCGCCCAGCGGTCTCCTTTGGCCGCAGCGGCGGCGGGCCTCGGGCGCACCCCCGGGAAGAACGCTCTGGTGCGCGCTAAGCCGAAACCGATTGTTAGGCGGGTTGGGGGCAAACCGAACCGGGCGTTCCGGCCCCCTGCCAGGGTGAAGGCTGCGGAAACGGAAAGTGGGCAGGAGGGGCCCGCAAAGAAGCCAAAAGGTGGGGCAAAGAAAGCGGTCCCCACTAAAGCAGCGGTAGCGGACATTGCGGAAGAGGCTGAGGAAGAGGATGCGCAGCAGGGGGGCCTGCAGCCATCGGAGGGGGCCAGTCAGGAAGAGGAAGGCCAAGCGGGCAAGAGGAAGGGCGGACCAGCAGACGGGGACGAGCAAGGGGAGAAGAAAGTGAAGAGCGGGAAGAAGAAACGGAAGCTAGCCAGCAACGGTAGTGTTGTGGTGGGGAGGCGCAGCGAGGAGATGGTAACGCCTGCCAAGGGGGCAGAGAGAAAGTCGGGGTCCGCAGGGGGTGCACCAGAACCAGCGGCTGAGCCAACGAGCGACGACCTGAGGCACGAGGCGGCGGGTGGAGGGCCGAAGCCCGAAGAGGAGTGCGGAACAGCCTCCGCACTGGATCCGACAAAAACAGGGGCAGGTGTTGTTGAAAAGGAATGCGAGGGGGGGAAGGAAAAGAAAGAGGGCAAGCAGAGTAAGAAGGGGGGCAAGAAGCCCCAAGGGGTCAAGAAAGGGACCGGCGAAATCGAGGGAGGGGACATAAAGGAAGCGGCGAAGGCGGATTCGCTGATTGAGGCAAACAAGGAGAACATCAAAAGCGAAGCCGAGAAAGCCGCAGCGCAGGGGGTGTCCTGCGAGGCGAAGAGCAGCCTGGGAGGAGCGCAAACGGCGCCCTACTTTGCGTTTGGAGGGAGCGGGGAGCAGAAGGACAGCATGGTCAAGAAAGTCAAGGTCAGGCGAACGTCACCTGTGCGCGTCTCGAGCATTCGCAGTTGGGCGTGCCTGCTTCACTCCGGTGCCCAGAGCGGCTGCAGCGGGGCTACTCCGACCCCTTTTGAGTCGTTTCCCCCATCGTTTGCACTGCCACGTCAAGCGAATGGTTCAAGTTACTCAAGAAAGTCTGCCCCGCATTTCGAAAGGGATTTGGTACCTCGCTTAACTACCAGCGAGTCACCGGCCGTTTCACGGACGCTTCATTGGCTTCACGTCCCTGAAGCTCTTCGACAGCCCACTTCCGGTCTCGGTACCGATCTACGTGGACGATCTCTTGCAGGCGCTGGGCGGCCGCGTGGCGCGGCTGGGCCACGAATTTGACCGCAAGACGACCCACGTGGTGCATCCCCCGCCCCTGAAACGCACCGAAAAGGTGCTGGCCGCGCTTGCTGCTGGACTCTGGCTGCTGCAGCCGGCCTTCCTCACCGCCAGCAAGCCCGCCGGGGGGTAAGGAACGAGCTCGCGTGTGACAAAAGACCCTTTTGCCGGTCGTCAAACCTGGAAATTCGTAGACGAGCGCTTTTTAGATGGTCGACCAAGTGTGATCAACACTGATCCTTGCAAGGGATCCCCCCCCGCTTTTCTTTGTCGCACAAGCTTTCTATTCGATTCGTCCTCCCTCTGTCCGTTCCATTGCTGAAAGCGAAAATGAATCACAGACTGACTTGCTTGCGGAAGTTTGCCACTCAAGCGAAATATCTGTATTGCGGAGGCAAGGCGGTTGCAAGGCATGGGTTCCTCGCCACTCGTTGCAGAAACTCTCAGTCAAGCGTTCAAAAGATGCCGACCATTACAGCCGCCCTTCCCGTGTTCAAAACAAAACAGCAAAACAGCCTCGATACGGTCCCCTTTCAGCGTAGACGAATGAGATTCAAATGCCAATCCACTTCCGTCGACGTTCTCTTTTCTCACGTGGAGTTTCTCGCTCCCAGGTGGGCTACCGAAGAGGAGCACGAGTGGGTCCCAGGGACCGGTGACGTGGGCGCGGCTCTTGATTTGTCGGCGCCGCGCCACTGGCGGCAGCGACGCGCGGAGACGGGGCGGCGTGCGTTGCAGGGCCTGCGCGTGGTGTTGTACGGCGACTTCCAGAACCCGACCACTGACGCGCTCAAGCGAATCGTGCTCGCGGGGGGCGGCCAGGTGAGGCGGCACGAACAAACTTGCGGCTGCCCTTGGAGTGAGGGTTGATTCAGGTTTAAGCTGGATTGCTCCCTTGTTGGGATTTGCCACGATAGCTGGTTGGCGTTGTGGCTTGATTTAAGATGATCGACCGCTCGAATTGACTGGGCTTTGTCGTGGCGTACTGATATCGGCTCAATCCTTTCTTTGAGATGGACGATGCACGAAGGCACCAACAGAGTGTCCAAAACAGGCACGGTCGACTGACGCTTCGACGGTTATCCTTGCGTTTCTGCTTCTCCTTTCACAAAGCCACACTGAATATCCACGCTTCTCACGTTGAGCTCGTTCCTTAATTGTGTGGTTTGTTTCGTCGTTATTCCGCTTTTTGGACGCCCTCTTTTTGCCCTGCCAGGTGTTGGCCAGCGGCCCCGGTCCCCTCAAGCTGCCCGCTGCGAGTGCGAGCAGCGTACAAGTCGCCATCATCGGAGAGGGAGTGCTCAGCGCCGACGTGTGCGTGACGGAGCTTTTGGCGGCCGGCGCGGGTTGCGTCAATGCCACGTGGCTCCTGGACACGCTCTCGCTGCCACGTGGCGATCACTCGCAGCACGTGCTGTTCGGCACGGAGGCCGCCGTGGCTGCCGCCCTCGAGAGCGTCAACAGTGCTCCGGCGGAACCGCAGAAAGGTACCGGCAAAGGGGTAGGGAAAATGGGGAAGGCAGGACCCAAAGCGAAAGGAGTTCTGCAACCCCATAGTGCAGGAGGGAGCCTTAAGACCAGCGCAAAGACGGGGAAGAAGGCGGGCAAGGACAAGGGAACTGCGAAAAGCGGGGGTTCGGTTGAAGCTGAGGATAGCGTATTAGAGGAAGAGGATGACGTGGCGTGCGGGGTGTGCGGCCGCGTGGACCAGGAGGCGGAGATGGTGCTGTGTGACGGCAGAGGGGGGCAGTGTGACCTGGCAGTGCACATCTTCTGCATGGCGCCGCCGTTGAAACAGGTGCCCGAAGGGGACTGGTTCTGCTCCATCTGCCAGGAAGGACAGGGCGGAGCGAGTCCGTGAGGCAGGAAACATGGTCTGCAGAAATGTCAAGCGGCTCTGGAGCAGTATTTTGTGGCTCTGTTGCATCGCGGCACGAGCAGTCAATCGGTTTAGAGAACACGCAGTTCCTCAAGTGCTGCAGGGGGTCAAACGGTGCTAGGATGATGCACTCAGTATTTATTCTGCTGGTGCGGGCTGGTCGGACAAAAGCAGGCTGTCAAGTGAGATGTCAGCTGTGATTCCGACCACCCCAATCCTTCTGGGGTGCTCTACCCGTCCTCTTCACATCAATCTGAATGAGATTGGCAGGCCCGCGGTCGGGCCTGGAGCTCTTGCCTTGGAAACCCGGCACATATTTGCACACGCGAACGCGGAAGCGTGGCCCCAGACAATGTTGGTGTGCCCGGCCGCGCTACCGCACGTGACTTGTGACGACATACCTGTGCACTTACTTAGGTGCGGTAGATCTCAAGGGCTGCAAAGCCCGATATATTTTGGCGCGCCCCTTATAGTTTGATAGTTGACTGTCATCTTAAGCATCATCGTACGTGATCCACGAACAACAATCAACGTAGGTACATGACTTCATTTAGTCATGTGCGAATGTTGTTCACGATCGAACGATATGCCATCTATCAACTTCACTCCGACCAGCATGACGATTAAGTTGGTACCGTACCGTAGCTAGTAGGACCACATGATGTAGCATTTCTCTAGCTAAAATCAATGATGTGCCATGGATGAGCCCGCATGCATGCCGCAGCGCGCTGCCGCCGTCGGACGTCCGAATCGCGATGAGTCTCACTGAGACGATCATTGTTTGGCGGCCTGCAGCACACTGCATGATTGGCGCAATGCATGATGTACGTGTGTGCCATGTGCGCGCGCGCTGCAGCATATGGGATGGACTCCATCGTCTGTGGGTGACCGTCAGGGATATGCAGTGCGGCGGCCATAATGATGACCATATTGCAATCAATAATCACTAGATCGCGGATCGCTCGATCACTGAGCCTAGCCTAGTGTATTGTTCGCGCTGGCATAAAATAAGTGTCCGGTCGGCCAGGATCAATCGCCGGATACGTATATAGGATAACCTGCTGCGGGCCCGGCGCCGCAATCGGCGGCATCAAATGTGGATTGCGCCGCAAACATGGCGGTACCGCCATGTTTACATTGAATGTATACATTGAACAGTGAATACATTGCCCCGGCCGGCTACGCCGCCTAAAATTGCACAAGCGCATATATATAGCCTGAACGCTGGCATGCCGCAGCTAGTGCTCACGTACATAGAAAGATACACAATGATGGGCGGCCAGAGCGACCTCCGCCGACCGAGCTGCAATCAATCAACCAATCCAATGCACACAAGCAATTGATGGAGGCCCCGCCAATAGCGTAACGTGGAGTCGCCAAAAGCGAGTGGCCAAAAGCGAGTGCTCATGACCTCAAGTGACCAATAAGCACCCGTAAGTGCTCTCACTAGAACGATCTCGACGAACAGCCGAAAGATGTGCCCTCTTCAGCGTCTATGTCAATTTACCTCTATCACAAGGTCCTGCCTTAGTATACACCAACGCGAGCAGATTGATCTAACAACGCATACATCCTAGATTCTCCCGAATGATAAACAACCGAGGTTGCCCTCTTCCATCTTTCCCCGCCCCTCGCCATTACCCTTCCGCCACCCTCGCTCCTTCAGCTCTCCTCAAGGCTATTTCAGGGGGTGCCCCGCTTAGGCTTGTCTTCCCCCCCTCAGCGACCTCGTTTTCCCGATGGGGCGCGCCTCCTTCTGCATCCCTCGGTTTGTCTCACCGTTACCTACAGCCGAGCCCGACTGGACAGGTGGCGGCTCCAGGATCGTCGATCCCGCCAAGTCGCGCACCGCTGCCTCCAGGTGCTCAAGACTGCTGCGCATCTGCACAAGCAAACGCGGTGGATACCACGCCAATTGCCTGCCCTTGGGAGAGCAACAAAAGGAACTTTCCGAAGCCTTCGGAATTCCTATTCAAAGCCTACCTAGTCATGAAATCCAACTGACCGTTTTTACTGCAATCAGCAACTACGCCATCCCAACGGACACAAGCTCCGTAGAATAGAAGAAATATGTTACATGCAAACTCAAATGGCAATACGCAGTGCTGCGACTAGAGCAAAGGCCCGTTCACGCAGACATGTCTGTCTATATATGCGAGAATATCATCTTACATATGTCCGAGTAATAAGAGTCTTCTTACCTTGCGCTTCCCTGCTGTGGATCTCTTCCGCTTGACACCGGCCAGCGCGTTCTCCCCTTTCCCGCCCAGAAGGGACGCCCCGACCATTCCGTTTTCCGTACCTTCCATTTCTTCCCCTCTTGTCCCATCCACAGCCATCTCCGCTCCCTCCGACTTTTGCTTGCCCGCCAGTGAGCTAGGGCCACGTGGCACTCCCTGATGGATTCCATTGGGCAACTTCCCGCCGTTCTCAACCGGCGTCTCGTCTCCTTCCGTAGCTTTGCTCTCCGCTCGAGCTGCCACCTGTTTCTGCTCGGTGCGACTTGTACCGGGCAGCTCCTGGGAGTGGCCGCCAATGTTGCTGTTGGCCCGGTTTGGAGGCCCCGGGGGAGACGGCTCGGACGGCAACTGAAGCCCCTTCTGAGGGCCCTGCAAATGGAGATGGGGATTGGTTAGCTTTTCGAGACTGGAAAACCTTGTGAAAACTTCAGATGTGCCGAAAAAGCGCAAAACGAGGTTTTACAAAAGGTCAAGTGGAACTTTAAAAACCCTCGTCTAGTGGCTGTGCCTGTCTTTGAGTTTCTTTGAACGCCTGTATCAAGGTGCTTTAAACTCGACGATCCAAGAAACACGGATTAACAGCGAGGACCCAGACTCACGCTGACTTGCACAAAGCTGAGTCTCCTTCAGCCTGCGATGCAAGAGCGCTAAACCTGGCCTTACCTTGCCTGCCTTCTTTGGGCCCTTCCCCTTGGCCCGGGGCTGCCCCCCGGGGGCGCACCGCGGGCACACCACAATGGCCGGCACACTGTCCCGGTCCCGGATCCGCAGGCAGCGCGTGTGCAGCCACGTGGCACACGTGTCGCACTCTGCCATGCGCTCCCCGTCGTCGTCCTTCGTGCCACAAAGACAGTCCACCACCCAGCTCTCCAGCCCCGCCTCGAACCGCGCCTCGCTCGCAAGATCCGCGCCCGCACCGGTACCTGTGAGCGACCACAGCGCCACGATCGCAGGATCGTCTTGGCCGGGGGGCAACGGGTGCACTTTTCCCGTTCTCTGCTCCCCCCTGTTGAGACTACCTAGTGACCCTTCCGCTTGCTGTTTCCCCACAAGTAACCCTGCGTTCTGCTCACCCCAAGCTGCAGAGAAGTGACGGGGGACACCCCCTCCGGCGCCTTCTTCCGACGCCTCTCTCTTCGTATTCGTTGGCCCGCCCCCACCTAGCTGCCCAAACTCAAGCGCCATGTCAGTAATAAGGCCTCCCCCCGTTTCGAGGGGTGCACTGCTGGGCTCCCAGGGTCCTCCCCCACCCGTCGCTTGCCCCGCTTCCGCCAACCCCTCCTGACGTGGACTGTCCCCGAGCTCTCCCATAGTAACGTCAGCAGCCGACTCGGACGGATAGGTCACTCTGTCCGTTCCCCCAAGCGCACTCCCCTTGCTATTCGCCTTGTTCACCTCCCTCCCAAATCCGAAGCTCCTCTCCTTCGCTAACAGGGGCCTTACCGCCGCCTTGTCCGGCGTCCCCCCCCACCCCTCAACTCGCGTCACCCGGAATGACCTCATCATGACGTACATCTCCTGAAACGCACTCCCCGCTTCCGCTTTCAGCTCCTTGAACGTCGCCCCCGAGGGAAGCACAAGCAGCTCCTGCGGGGGGTCGCATTTCGCCCGTGGATTCGGCCCCTGATCTTGAAGCTTTACCCCAAACAAAAGCCGGATGTCCGCCCCCTGGCCCGGCTCTTGACACCGCGACTCGCCACGTTCCCCGTGATAGCTCTTGATGAACTTTTTGGTGTTGTGGATCGCTTTGGACGCGCGCAGCACAGCGACGGGGTCGATCGGCGAGGGGTCGGTGTGAACGGCCACCGAGAGCCCATTCCCCACGTGCTTCGGCTCAATCCCCTCCCTTGAAACACCAAGCGGTTCCTCCTTCCCCGTCGTCGCCGCTCGTCCGCGATGCTCAATAGCGATTTCTTCATTCGCCTCCTCCCTTACGTCACTGGCCAGATGCGAAACGCTCCCATTCACATGGATTTCAGCAAAGGCCGCCGGCACTTGCGAACCAGATCCTGTTCGCCATTCCTGTTTGGCCTCCACCAGATCTAGCTCCTTCTTTTCCGGCTTCTTCTCCTCACCCTCAGGCCCCTGCGTCTTCGAAGTGCCAAACTTCCCTTCTGCCCCGCGACCATGTGGCTGATACTCCTCAGGAGCTTCCTTTTTGACCGCAAATTTTCCATTTCCCGTCAGCCCGTCCCTGTTGCCCGCCTCATGCACGCAACTCTCCCCCTTCCCTGAAGTACTATTTATCTTCTCGTCCGTTTGCAGCAGACCCCCTGCCGAACCGCTTTCAAACCCCTTTCCGGTAAATTCTCCTCCTCCCGTCCCCTCCGCAACACTGGTCAGGGGGGTCATTCCCAGCGGCGTTTCCTCCCCCCCGAAAGGAGTGGTGGGCGCAATGCCGAGGGCGGGGTTGACGGATCCCGTACGGCGCAGCTTGCGCGCGGCTTTGTACGAGAGCACCACCTGCTGCTGCAAGTATCGCAGGTCCTTTACCACGTCCTGCTTTGTCAGCTTGTGCGCGCCGGCAGCAGTCACGCCACCTGCGAGTCCGGAAAAGCTGAGTGAGCACGGCATTCATCCAACAAGAGAAAGAACTCGAAGAGAAGGGAGCTTATGGACGTAGAACTCAATATTGCTCCGGCCAAACGCAGATGGTATAACGCTCCCCAGATGCAAGGAGCGCAATCGAAATCTGCCTTGAAAGCAAGATCGCTCCGCTTTCCTGCCGGGTCTGACGCTCGTTTTGAATCAACTTACCAAAATTGCCTGCAATGGAATCCCTTAGTAAGCCTCGGAAACATATTTGTGACTGACAGATTTACCACCGCAGTTTGGGGCTTCCATGTTGACTGCCCAAGCAAGGCAGGTGTAGCGGTGACAACAAGCAGCACGACCGCACAGCCTTACCTGGCGTCCCCTTCTGCGGGCTTCCAGCAACCCTCCTAGAGCGTTCCGGCCGCGCGCCATCATCTGCCCCCGCCGCCGTTTCTTCCGAGCCACCCCCCTCGGGCCCCTGCCTTTTCTTCCCCATCGTCCCCGCTTCCCCCTGTTTCGCGGTGCTCACACCCTCACTTTGCATTCCCGGCAAGTACAAACTCCTCCGGGCGGTTTTTGCCGCGGCACCTCCGCGCAAATGGTTCGCTGCCACGACGTGCTTGGACCCGGACCCCTTCCCACTTCCGCTTTCCTTCTGCATCCCCTCCCTTTCCGCTGGCCGTTCGGATGCACCCGTCTCTGCGGGGACGTCCGATGCTCCTTTTTTTGCGCCAGCTTCCATCTCCGCACCTTGCCCTCCCTCATTGCCTTTCCTTTCGCTCACGGCAGCCCCGGCGTCCTCAGCTTTTTCAGCACTTCCGTTCTCTGCAATCGCCGGGCTGGGGCCAGGTTCTCCGACCTGCCCTGAGGTTTTGCCCTCTCCCGAAAAGTGGTCGGAAGCTGAAACCCCGACCTTTTCCGTGGCCTCAGCAGCAACGGGAGGCGCAGTGAGGTCCACGGCGCCAGCGTGGTTCCCGAGGACCTCCAGCCTGGAAAAGAAAAGAAGGCCCGCTCAGGAACTGTGAGGGTTTGCTCGAACGAAGAAGGGAACGAACAAGGCAGGATCCGCGACGCTGGAGCTTTGCTTGAAACCATCGGAACAGATTTGCATTCCACCTGAGTAACGTGACTGCTCCAATAGGCAAGCTCGAAACTAGACCTCCTATGAAGCCTACAAACTATGTTAAAAGATTCACCATGTGGGATGAAACCAAACAGCAAAACGAAAACACTCGTACAGCCCAGAGAAAGACCAGAATATCCGCTGTTCACGCACACCTGGGCCCAATCCAAAAACACATTCTAAGCGGAAATCCCCCGAAGAAATGCCGTCAAATTCTTAAGAACCAACAGCGCAAAAGTAATTGCTTACCTATATTCCATGACGTGGCTATCCGGGTGCACCATGCGCCGCACGACGGCCCCTCCGCCCACTTCCAGATTCTCCACCACCCGCAGCGCGTAGTTGAGCAGCCCGGTGTCCCCGATCTTGGTGCGTGCCTTCTCTTTCAGGCTGACACGTGTCATCCACGTGTTGTCCGGCAACGTCCGGATGATGCTCACCAGCGCTTTGATTGCATCGTCAATGCGGCGCGGGGTGTACCTACAGAAGATGTAAGGTCTGCTCGGTCGTCGATGAGTATTTTGAAAGATAATTACACAAACAAGGACTCAGGAAAACTCGGAACAGAACGGCAACTTTTGCTCGTAAACATCGGCTGCAGGAGGATCTGTTGGTTCTCAAACCGAACTTATCCCCGATTGATAACGCGAAAAGTCGTCAACAAAAGAAACTAGAAAGCAGCTCTTGCAATCTTCAAAGAAAGCTATCAGAAAGAAGCTTGAAATTGTGCAGAATCTTGCTATCACGGACGGTGGAGCCAACTTCAAAGTTCGTAGTCAAAGGCCGAGTTCCGCGCTATCTGCAGGTCGACCTTGGGGCCAACCTTCTCTCCCCACCTGCTCTTGCCGCTGTCCACGGAGGGGCTCCTGGTGCTCTCGCGCGACGACTCGAAGGTGCGCACCAGCTTCGACATCGACCCCTCCGGCATCGGCGGCTTCCCCGCCGCCCGCCCGCTCTCCCCAACCTCCCTCTCCGGCGTCTGCTCCGGGGGGGAGTACGACAGCTGCAACGCCGACCCGGGGTCTGCCCCCCTCCCATGCCGCGGGGGCCGCTTCGGTGTCCGCCGCACCGCGGGCGTGCGCGGCCCTTCGCTCGCCGCACGCGCGCTTTCGTACGCGCTTCGCTGGAGAGGCGACGCCGCCCGCGCCCGGGGACTCCGAGCCGCCTCTGAACCAGTCACGCCTCCGGGTTCGGTAACCTGACCTTTTTCGCCCTCACTTGCCAGTGAATGCGGAAAGCTGACGTCACCATTGGCGGCGGGCCCGTTCTCCTGCTCCCCGAGGCGCGTCCTCTTGGCCTTCCTCCGGAGCGCTGCCTCGCTGTCGAGGCTGCCGTCGCGCTCAAACCCAGCCCCGCTCATCCCCAAAACGCGCGCCTCTTCCTCCAACCGCTGCCGCGATCTCCGCGGCCCGGGGCTCTCCTCCCGAGCTACCTCCCCCGCTTTGCGTTTCCGGGGGGACACGGGCGGCGACCCGTTGCCCCTTGGTGACGTCCTCGTTAGCGGCTTTTTGGGCGACCTCATCGGCGAAGTAGCTGGCAGCTTGCCCGGGGACTTGGTGGACAATTTCCCGGGCGACTTGGCTGGTGAACTCCGGGGGCTCTTGCTCAGGTTCGGTGAGCGGGGGCTGCTGCTGCCGTTCCCGAGACCCATCCTTTGGCGAAACCCAACCTTTAGTCCTTTAGCCGGCCGCCGCATGTTCTGCGTCCGGGCCTTTGCAATCCCCTTCAGCGGACCCTGCATGAGGCCACGGAAGCGGCCCCCGTTTTGCGCCGACCCAATACCTCCCCGTCGAGCTTTACTCCCCTTCCCGCTCCCCTGCTTCAAGAACCCCGCCTTTTGGCCCCGCTTAAGCGCGTTCGATCCATTCTGCGTCTTTGCGAAGACCCCGTCTGCCTCCTTCCCATCCGGCAGTTTCGGCCGCAACTCGAGCATGAACCGATACAGCTCGCCCAGAGTGCGCACGGACCCCCCCGAAATCTTCTGGTACTTCGAAATGATAGCCGCCACGTTGTGATCCACCAGCTCGAAGTGCGAAATTATCGTGGCGAGGGGGAGACTCTGGAGCAGCGCGACAGCGCCCGAGTAGGCGTCTTTGGAAACGCCGAAGCTGCCGCGGCCAAAGCGGTAGCCCCAGCGGCCGTACCACGTGCAGCCATAGGCAACGGCGTGCAGGAGCCGGAAGTCGAGGCCGAACTTCTTGCTGACGTCCTGGACCGACACGTCCCTGCAGCAGGAAACAACGAAAGTCAAGTGAGACCAGAATCTGAAGGACCACAATTTCTAAGTGAAGGGTCTGCATGAAAGACAGAGTGGAGAAGAGCTGTGCGATGCACACTTCTGTGTACTGCTTGAAAGCACGACGGAGGACGGCTGAAGGACGAGGCCTTTGCAATCTTGAGTCCAGCTGAAAGGTGCGCCCAAATCCTCTCGACAACTCAGCCGAATGAAGGATGAAAGGAGATAGGTTACCGGAAATGAAGGACAAAAGGAGGGAGACGTCAGTCACGCTTCAGTCACAAACAGGCACTTTAGAAGCAACTCGAAGAGCAAATTGCAAGGACAAAGAAAAGATACGGGTTCTCAACGTGTCCGCCAAAAAAGAATGTTTGTCATCTTGCGAACGCTTTCAAGTCTGATTTGAAGCTGAGGTGACAAAGACGAATCCAAGTGCGCTGCTAGTTCGACTAGCATTGCGGAAAACAATCATCCTACCAGCTGAAACGTTATCTCCCAAAGAACGTGGCGTTTCAAGCCGTTTGCAAGGTCGTCTAATCAAGACGTTGCGCAGCAGTGATCCCTTTGCCTGTTGCTTTCATCAAAAGCCTGGAGCTAACCAGAAAAGTGGAATTAATAACCTTGCGGCACCAATTAGGCTGTTAATGATTCTCAACAAGGCCAGCCAATTTTGCACGTCAGTCCCCCTTTTCATTTCCAGGAACAGTCGCCCAAGCTCAGCACGACTACAATGCAAGCTTCCAACTAAGCTTGAACCAAGTGTCACAGGACTAGGCAAAGTCCTCACCGAGCCTTGAGCAGCGTACAAAGGCGGTCCCAAAAGTCCATGAGCTGCGTCCCCGAAAGGACGCGCGAGCCCCGCTCCCGCCCGTTGATCCTCATCAGGTGTCCATACCCGTTTGAGTGCAGCACGCCATGTAGCAAATGGGTCTGCACCTCCAGTGCCGAGGACCGTCGCAGGTCGGCCCCGCACTGGGGGCACTCGCTTGACACCACCGGGCAAGATGCCTCGCAGCTGGGACAGTGGCGGGTGCCGGTGTCAAGAACGGTAGCGCTGTCTTCGCTGGGGAGGATGAAGTGGAAGCGCGAGCAGGAGACAGGGTGGTGGCCCCAGCCTGAAAAGATTGATGCAAAATGGTCAAAAACTTGTGCAAAGCTTAAGCATAGCTCGCAAAGAGGGCGCGTAAAGGACTTCATGACTTTGTGCACAATGAACGCAGTTCAAGCACCAAGCATTTAAGAACAGAAGTCAGCAATACCCTTCATAGCAGTCTCACCCTGTCTCGCGTGCTGTCAAAGGTCAGTCATAAGACACAAGGAGGCCAGAGGGCCGCAGAGGCAAGTCTAATCAACGCCAGTAGCACAGGGGGGCGGACTTTTGATTGCAAATTGAGCGGTTCATGGACGTGAAGCGGGCAGCTAAGGGCCACAATAGCAGCACAAGTAGTGCAAGGACTGACTTCCCAGTGGAAGAGTTGTCATCCAAACTGAAGGAAATTGGTCCGACCAGGTGCAATGAGATTGTCCAGAACAAGACTGCCAGCTAAGCACGCACACGAAGGAGTGATTGCCAATCTCTTGAGAGCGCACAAAAGCGTAAGCTGTATGAACCAGAGACGAGTGATGTCGCCTAGAAAAGAGTGTGACAGGATGTGGCCGGCTCACCGATCACCCTGCACTGCTCGCAGTACAACTTCCCTGTTGCTGGCACATCCTCCTCAAAGACCAGCAGGTCATCAGTGCCCCCCTGGCCGTCGCTGAAGGCAATCTTCCACCTGGACGTTCCCGCCAGGGAGCATGGCTGTGGCTCTCCCACTTCGGACAGCAGGCGCCGGACGTTGGACCGGAAGGGGCCGTCCAACCGGGCGCTGATTGGTGGAAGTTCCGCCATGCTGGCCGCATCCTGTCAGGCGCAGCTCATGGAAGGAGGGGGAGAGGGAGGGGGCTGTGTGCCTGTACAAGAGAGGGAGCCAGAGCTGTTCAAAGAGAGGAATCCTTTCAAGGACGCCTGCTGCAAAGCCTAGCATCCCACTACTTTCTTCTGCAATCTGGTTGACGCCCAGGCAACTTGAGACAGCGGTCAGGCAGGCAGCAGTTCTATTCAGACGGATGGAGTCATCATTCACGCACTAGTTGACCCCAAGCTGAGTCCTCCTGAGATGAGGGAGTCATTTGCCAGTGCTCTGTTGCTAGGCCCCACTGAGCAGCAGCGGTGAGCAGCACAGAGAAGGCAGGCTGCAACCGCAATGGCTGACTGGCAAGTGACAGTCAACGATTCCCCACACAACATTGACAAGCAGGCTCGGCAAGCAACAGATGCATCAGCAGACTGTGATGGGGCCAGTGAGCAATGGCTATCAAGCTGACAGGGACAGTGCAACCATGTATGTTGTCTGTACCTTTGCAGGAGGCTTGGCTTCCAGGTTGACACAGCAGGGGCACATACAGTGGTCTTTGGAAGTAAGAGTAGCCTCAGGAAGGGGCATGAAGCTGAGGAAGAGATGCATTCATGGCCATAATGAGCAGCAACGACGAGCTGCAAACAGCACCCTTGCAACTGGGTCATTCAAGTATGTGGGAGCCATGCAAGTAGCACCAAGGCAGCTGCGACACACCGTTGGCTTCAGGCTGAGGAAGGTAGCACAGGTGCCAGACCCAGGCTGGCTCCAGCTGCTGCTGCAGCCTGCACTGGCAGGCTGTGATGAGGAGTGGGCCTGCTTCAGAATCGCACCGGAGCTGGACTTGCATGAGTTTGCGCAGACTGGGGGAGAACGCTGACGTCACTGGCGAGTTCCGTCGACATTGCAGATCGAAGTCGGAGGGGCTGTTCACATGAAAGCAAACCGCCTCGAAGTTTCCGGAACCCTCTCTCAACGCCTGCTTGAACTGATGGTTACTGGAGAAAGCTGGAGGAACTGGAAATTTGATCCATGTGTAAACATGCTCGACTCAACAGCTTAAATGTACGGCCCAATATAAACCGTTATCGTAACTTTTCAATGGGTAACTTGGCCTATAAACGGTTACCAATATCGAGCATTGTCTTTCGCATCATCCTAGTTGGTGTTCTTGCTGCATCTCGTGCTGGCAGAGTGTCGAAAAGGTGGGAAGTCTGAGCCTTTGAAGGTGCTAAAGTTCTGCGTTTGGGCTATCCTGTTTCTTTGAAGGCGGGCGCCATGATGGCGCATGGGTCCGCTAGCGTCGCCGAAACGGCTTCCGCTTCTCTGAGAAGGCTCCACCTCTCAGCCTGCAGCACCAACCCGCTTCCTTCCCAGTGTCCTGCATTCGCGCGCCAACCGGGGGGTATGGCTGGCCGATGGCGGTCGCTGGCTTCTCGAGCCCCGGCATTGCAAGCCATTTTCGTACCCACTCAGCAAGCTTCCTGCAGTGCCTCCTCTACGCCCCTCGTTAAAAACGCAGACCTTCCAGGTGTTGCGCAGTCTCTGACGTCGTTCTTCGGCGCTCGGTTAGATCAGCCGGACTCGACCTCTGCGAATCAGTTCCGGAGATCCTTCCGGTCCGCGAGCCAAGTCTCTGCAAATGCTGCAATACTAGTAGAGGAAGCGGCGAGGGGGGAGGAGGAGAATGCGGCCCCTGCGCAGCGGGTGGGGGCGTATCCATTCAAGGAACTGGAGGCCAAGTGGCAGACAACGTGGGCGGAGCGCAAAACGTTCCGGACGCCAGAGGAAGTGGACACCAGCAAGCCAAAGTTCTATGCGCTGGACATGTTTCCATACCCCAGGTACTGAATGCAAGCGTTCACACTGGCGATGAGTGGGTGGTGCATTGTGTCTCTCGCTGTGTTGCATTTTGCCCCTTCTTAGCCAGAAGAGTCTGGCGGTGGTACTGTTGCGTCCACATTCCAGCATGATGGTACTTAAGAGTGCATCCATGATCCCATTTCTTCAAGTAGTAGAAGATCTGATAGTCAGCGAGATCATCAGCTTCTTTAGTCCCTGTAGGAGAGCGTATGTGAGGCTTCCTAAAAGAACTGGGGCTGAAGCTTTGTGGTGTGGGGCTACACGGGCGCTCAAGCGCGTTTCTATGCATTTGGCCAGCAGTGTACATTTATGTGGTGAAAATGACACAAATGGATGATTGAGCGTTCCCAGCATACCTACTTCCATTGACGTCCTGCTGCTGTAAGTCCTCACATCGACGGTCCAGATGGTTTCAAGAAATGCGGCCGCCACCATTCATTTCAGGGGGCCAAACCTAGAGGGTAGTGTGTATAGGTGGCCCGAAGTCTTTATTTTCCGCCCATCCGTTTTTGAAGACAGCTCTTCAATCGCTGGTTCCGAATCGAGTACCAGATTACTTTCAAATACTCACGCTTTTCGGCCCCTTTGCAGTGGCGCTGGGCTGCACGTAGGCCATCCGGAGGGGTACACTGCGACCGACATCGTGTCGCGCTACAAGCGGATGAAGGGCTTCAACGTGCTGCACCCCATGGGCTGGGATGCGTTTGGGCTGCCGGCAGAGCAGTATGCGCTTGAGGTGATGAGCAACAAACTTGGTTTCTTATATCTTTGATCCTGTATTCAAGCCCCTTGAGGCTGAGAATCAATAATTGACATCCTGATGATGCATCTGACACAAGCTTTATTGGCCCCTTTCAATTACAAGCTCCTGTCCTGGCTCCCCCATATGGTCAGCGGGGCCATTGCGGGTTTCCCTACAAAACGGGTCCGCACCAGCGGATTGCCTAGTACGGCTCCGAACCTGCAACTGGCGTATGGAGTTATGTTAGGATCTCGGTGTTCCCAGCTGGTCCTTAGCGTCACAAGTGGCATCATTCATCGAAACCTGCTCTGTCATATTTTCTGTGCCTTTCAAAATAGCGCAATCGGCCCGTTTGCACGTTTGCAGACGGGCACGCACCCGAAGGTGACGACGGAGCGCAACGTGGCGCGCTTCCGCACGCAGCTCCAGTCGCTCGGCTTCTCGTACGACTGGGACCGCGAGTTCTCGACGACGGACGAGAAGTACTACCGGTGGACGCAGTGGATCTTCCTCAAGCTCTGGGAGAACGGCCTGGCTTACCAGGTAAGCGCCGTTATTATTTCATCTCCGGAAGTCCGTACATACTAGTCGTTTATACGTTCAACATTGATTGTGGTGGATACCATACTTGATGGACAAAGAGAAGTGTGAGTCACTAGCCTCGTGGTCTGGCCGTTAAAATTGAAGTCCATCTTTCTGAGGCTCGATTGCTCCGAAGGGGCAGGTCGCTGACACTAGCAGAAGTTGTGTATGGAGATCAGCAAACAAAACTGCCCTCCGTGTGACGTTTTGTACCGGTCAATTTCTTTGGCGCTCTGCGTGAAAGGGTGCTCGGGCATTGCCCAATTCTTAGAAAGAGTAAGATTTAGCCTTATTGACTGCTTGTGGGCAAACCGGCTGATTTGACACCGGTTTCCGCTCTGGTCCTGCAGGCTGAGGTGCCGGTCAACTGGTGTCCGGCCCTGGGCACGGTTCTGGCGAACGAGGAGGTCATTGACGGCCTGAGCGAGCGGGGAGGCCATCCCGTCATCCGAAAGGTGAGCCTTCTCTTCACCGCTCGCTCACAAAAGCCTTCATTCTGCATATTTGTGTGCTCATTTTCCCCTCCTATGTACCTATGTGAAAAAGGCATAGGGAAAAATCGTAACCGGAACGTATTTTCCGACCCTTTTTAGATTCGAAAACCGGGGGGGCTGCCCCCGCCCCCGAGCCCCCCTGCTTTTTCCTTTTAGGCCTTTGTTTCATTGCATACGATTGATTGATAACGTCGTCTACGACGAGAACGAACGGCTATGGCTGTGCTCAGGTCGCTGATAAATGTCGCACATGCGTGAAAGCCTCATCGGCATGAGAGTCGAAGTCCGGCCTACGTGAGGTATGACCTGCATGCTTATCTGATTTTGAGTCTCAACATATGTGTGTATTGTTGCAAGGACGAGTCACCCGCTGATCATTGTAAGAGTAAAGCTGCAACCGCGCGTGTGCTTCAGTCGAACTTCGAAGTACACCCGGTTCCGAGCAGTTTATTGGCGCCGTTCCTTCCTCGAGCTGCTTGTCTTTCCTGCCAAACCTCCATTTCCAGAAGCCTTCATGTACTTGATTATCCAGTTAAGCGATTGTTGAAAATGCATCTGCTTTTCAAGCCTACTTTAAAAGCTTCCCGACAAGGCATCATGTAGAATTTAACCCCACTTCTGCTCCCCCGGCAGCCAATGCGTCAGTGGATGCTGCGCATCACGCGCTACGCGGACCGTCTCCTGGACGACTTGGAAGACCTCAACTGGCCCGAGAGCATCAAGGAAATGCAGCGCAACTGGATCGGCCGTTCCGAGGGCGCCGAGATCGACTTCCCCATTCTCGCCCCCGACGGTTCCGTCACCGAAAGCTCCCTCCGCGTTTTCACGACCCGTCCCGATACGCTGTTCGGCGCGACGTACATGGTCGTTGCGCCGGAGCACCCGCTGGTGGAGCACGTGACGTCAGCAGAGCAGCGGGGGGCGGTGGAAGAGTACGTGAAGAAGGCGGCGCTGAAAAGCGATTTGGAGCGGACCGAGCTGCAGAAGGAGAAGACGGGGGTGGCGACCGGGGGATATGCGCGGAACCCGGCAACCGGGGAGAAGGTGCCCATCTGGGTCGCCGACTACGTGCTCGGCAGGTGGGCGGTAGAACCGGCTGGGGAACATATGTTACGGACCCTTGGAACGTTAGGTTTGGAGAGGCGACTATTGATTTGCGGAGATGGTACGATCTTTGCTGGGTTTAGCATTCAAGACCGTTGCTTTTGGGTATAAGCTTCGACCTTTGTGAATCGAAGAACCAACGCACCAGAACTTGATATATCAAACCTTCTTTGCGGGCTTTGCTAGCTCCGGTCCTTGTGAACTGCAGAAATTTCAGATCAAGTGTGTCAGGTTCGAAAGCGGATTCGTCTTTGTAGCTAAGATTTTCTTCTTTCCTTTGCAGCTACGGTACTGGCGCCATCATGGCCGTTCCCGCGCACGACTCCCGCGACCACGAATTCGCCACTGCTTTTGACCTCCCCATTATCCAAGTCGTTTCCGCCCCCAAAGGAATCAAAGTCGACTCCAACGAGGCCTTTTCAGAGCCGGGAAAAGCCGTCAACTCTAGTAGCGAGGCAACCGGGTTGAAACTCGACGGGTTGAGTACGAAGAAAGCGGCGGCCAGGGTTATAGAGTGGTTAGAGAGCACGAAGCAGGGGACAAAAAAGGTTAACTACAGGTTACGAGACTGGTTGTTTGCGCGGCAGCGGTACTGGGGGGAGCCGTTCCCGATGGTTTACGTGGACGGTGCAAGCGATCCTGTGCCGATTCCGGAGAGTGAGCTTCCGTTGGTGCTGCCGGAAACGGACTCGTACAAGCCGAGCGGAACGGGGGAGAGCCCGCTGGCTACGATCACGGATTGGGTCAATACAACAGGTGAGGACACTTTTTGGTCGACGTGACGACCCTTTGCAAAGCAGATTGGCAACCTTCTCAAAAGTATGCCCCTCGTTTGATATTGCTTCTGACAGTTGCCATTGGCTCTCGCTTGCCTCTCCTTGTCCATTGAAAAAACCCAAAGTACATGTCGTTGCGAGATTTCAGGAACATCAGAGGCAGGTCAAATTTCTGTATCCTCGCCTAGCTAGTTCGGTCTCTGAACGACTCTCACGCAATCCCCTCTCTCCACGTGTTCAAATCCAAGCGGGCGGGCCGCGAGACGAGAAACCTACACAATGCCGCAGTTTCAAGATTCAAAAGGACTTATCGCCAATCTCCTCTTTCCACGTGTCCAGATCCGAGCGGGCGGCCCGCGCGACGAGAAACCAACACGATGCCGCAGTGGGCGGGGTCCTGTTGGTACTTCATCCGGTTCATTGACCCGGGCAACGACCAGGCGCTCGTCGATCCGGATAAAGAGCGCTACTGGGGCCCGGTAGACCTCTACGTGGGCGGGGCGGAGCACGCCGTGCTGCATTTGCTGTATGCGCGGTTTATTTACAAGGTGTGGGGAATGGAACGTTTTCCGTGTTTCTGTCTTTCGCCCACGAGGCCATTCGTGGCCCACTCGTGAAGTAAGCAAGGTCTCTCAAGGAAGCTGAGGTTGATAAAGTGGGTCTGAGGCAGCCTCATCGTTTGGCTAGGAGTTTGATTTGAACGCTGAGCAGTGGCGGAGCCGTCGAAGGAAAACTGCATAGGAAGGCAATCTCCATTCCATGTTCTCCTTTGAAACAGGACAGATACGTTCGCCCCAGTAAGCCTCGCGTGTCGTTGCTCTGCAGTTTTTGTTCGACATTGGCGTTGTTTCTCGAAAGGAGCCGTTCCAGAGCCTGGTGAACCAGGGCATGATCCTAGGGGAGGTAGGACCATCACACTGCTCTGCCCGCAGAGTTCATCCCTCCGAAGTCGTGCTTGTAGATCCTTTTGTCGAGCCTTGACTACGTACTTTCTTCTTGAGACTTGTGTTGCTCGCCTCGTCTGGAACTAGGGGCTTGAAAGGTCGGGACCGAGAAACATGCACGAATCGGTTAGAAGCTGTCTTGGGCCCCTTCAAACGGACCGCTTCACTGCGAAGAAGCACGAGTCCAAAGGGGTCGGGGTCTCACTCCTTGTGCTGACGCTTTGCTTCACCTCTTCTCCCCCTGGGTCGAAATATGACTACGAGATTTGGAGAAACCTTGAGACTTTCTAACATTTCCTCCGCCTGCCAGGTTGAGTACACGACGTTCCGGAACGAGCGGGGTGAGCGGGTGTCTGCAGACGTGGCATCCTCCAGCCGAGAAACATACACCCCGGAGCGGATCCCGGAAAGCGAGGTACGCAGAGCTTCCGCTTGGGATAGTCAACGACAAAAACATTTTTCAGTTCCTGACGTTCTGGACACATCGCGTAGAACCTCAGAAAGTTCTTCTTGAGTTCACCTACAATTTTGATCTGCACAGTCAGCCTTGGCGCAGGTCGCCAGTCAAATTTATGCTTTTAATGTGTCTGAAACGAAAAGTTGGCGACGAATGTGAATCACTGTGAAAGTGTATCCCTCGTTTCAAGTTCTAAGCAAATCGAGGCTGACATCAGTCTACGAAAGCAATGTTATTGTGAGAATGATGACCAAGCTCACAACCGTAGATTCGCTTGCTCCCGCTGCCTTTACTGCTGTGCAATTTTGCTCTCTGCTGGATCAAATCAAAACAAGTATCTATTCTAATGGATTGCGCGTGTTTGCTAACGCGGGCTAACATGAGTGCGAGCCCAAGGATCCGGACATTCTCAATGTTCGATTCCTTGAAAGGTCAAGAAACTTTCCCCAGGTGACGAAGTCCGGCAACGAGTACGTGCTGCGCACCGACCCCGGCGTGCGCGTGCAGGCGCGCGCGCACAAGATGTCCAAGTCGCGGGGCAACGTCATCAACCCGGACGACGTCGTGTCCGAATACGGCGCGGACAGCCTGCGCCTGTACGAAATGTTCATGGGTCCGCTGAAGGAGACCAAAGTGTGGAGCACTAATGGCGTAGAGGGAGTGCACCGCTTTCTGGCGCGTGCGTGGCGGCTGGTCGTGGGCCAGAAGGAGGGCGCTGACGTCAGCGTGACGGAGAACGAGCCGAGCGAGGGGCAGCTGCGCACGCTGCACGCGTGCATACAAAAGGTGCGGCGTCTGATCTGGGCGGGTCGAAGCTACTTGATGCGTGCTTATTGAATCTCAAACTTACACCTACACGACTCACCGAGGATGATGTGCTCGGTAAGGTTTCTCTTCTGTGAGCTCAGTAGGCTCAATAAAGTAAGTCGCTTCAGAATGAAACAGCCCACATCCGGATTGCTTGTTATCAAAAGTGAGTAAGCCGCTTGTTGCAATTGGTATCTGGGGCGAGCTTCCAACGTGACTTCACTGATTCATCTGACGTTTTGAGAACCTGAACGCAAAATCCTGATTGTCAACAATGAAACTGGCCTCAGGTGACGGAGGAGGTGGACAACATGCGCTTCAACACGGGCATCGCCGCCATGATGGAGTTTGTCAACGCCGCCAACAAGGTACGCAACTGTCACCATACAAGGGAATCACACGCCGGGGCTACAGCTGTTTGCATCAAACTTGCCAACCCAGTTTAGATTTTGAATCTGGTCCGCAATGTTTGGCCGTCCGATGCCTTTGCATCGTCGATCGGACGCTTGAAGTCAGGAACCATGCTCGGAGCGTTCGGAACGCGAAAACAAGTACGACACGTATCGCCCCTGCGAACAAGAGCGTTCAAAGTGCGCGAGATAGCTTTCCTCCTTCCAGTCTCTTTGAGTCGTTCAGGGCGGATGGTTGGGTCTTTTTCAAGAGCCGTAATGAATGCACCGTGCCCTTCTCTTGGATGCGCCAGCCACGAGGCCGTCGAGGCAGATTTCTGCCTAGCAGACTGGTACGGACCAGGGTTCAGTTTGCACTTGCCTTTTACGCTCCGTTTTCTGCCGTCCACTGGAAGCGGCACCACCACTACAGATACATTTGGCTCCATCCTGCCGAAGTCTGGCGCAGCGCCTGAGCTCCTCAGTCCTACTGCGATAAGATCTGAGCCCACCGTCAATCTGATAGGGAGCCCTTTCACCCTGCACGGAATTCCTTCATCAAGTCTCTGATACCTTTTTCTGCACCAGTGGGATGACCGGCCCCGCGCCGCACTGGAGCCGTTCGTGCTGCTGCTGTCGCCGTTTGCGCCGCACGTCGCGGAGGAGCTGTGGCACCGCCTGGGGCACCCCGACTCGCTCGCGTACCAGCCCTGGCCGCAGGTGACTAAGACCTTTAAATCACCCAAGCTGAAGATGACTCGTTTCATTTGGGCTATGTGTTCGAGTCGCGTGACCTTGTCAGCTCATCGAACCATTCCGATAATGGGTCAAAACGTAGGGGTGACGTACGTCTTTCCGCCGAGTGATCGTCAGAGATGCTCCGTCAGCAGACAGATTCCTCCGGACTGGGTCGCTATCGTTTCTTCTATGGTGCAGCGTGTGCCACGAATTTTGCCTTCTTATGCATCCGTCCCCTACGAACCCAACCATTTCGAATCCTTCGGCACACCATCTTTTCACAAAGTCGGTGGAAATAAAACGTCCTTTTTGCCATTTGTGCCGCAGGCCGAGGAGAAATACTTGGTGGCCAACTCGTTCGTGCTGCCGGTCCAAGTGAACGGCAAGACGCGGGTGACGCTCGAGCTGCCGGTGGGCATCGACCAGGCGGCCGCTATGGCGCGCGCGCTGCAAGAAGAGGCGGTCGCTAAGTACACCGACGGGAAGGAGATCAAGAAGACGATCTACGTGCCCGGCAAGATCCTCAACCTAGTTGTTGGCAAGTGACGGGGAGTAAGTTCACGGGGCCTTTTTAAGCCAGCGGCAGGAACGGGAGGGACGTCTAATAGACAATATACGTGCTTGGGACGACCTCGATTTAGTTGGGCACAAGCGAGGGGGTTCGTGCATAAGAGCGCGAGAGACGACAGGAACTGCCGCGTTGTGGCCAGGCTAATTGCAGCAATACAGCATTATAAGGAGCTGCACAAACCCGCTGATAAGATGGAGCTGCACAAACCCAAAGCTGGCCGCCAGCGTCTCAGACATCTGCACTAAGACTTGCGCCAATCAGCGTGCACAACGTTGTCGTGCCTTTGAGCTCCATGACTCTGTGCGCGGCCCTGATTTGCAAGAGTACTTGTATCGTCCTAGCTGAAGTCAAGGCTAGTCGCATGCTGATGTCTCGAGGGGTGGACTCCGACTGCTTGCCAGTACTAACGCTTGCAATAATTCAACAATAAGAACTGCGTCATGGGGGCTAGTCGATGCCCGGTGCCAGCTCAGTCACTGTCGTGCTAGACCGCGGGCCAACGTATGGCCGGGCGCGATCGAGTATGCACGCACGCGGTGCAGTGAGCAGACCCTTTGCGACCATGCTGTGAGCGTTTACTGAGCTCCCAAGTACGTGACTTAGCCTAGTAGACAAGTCTAAAGAATGAGAGCACTGATGTAAGGACATGAACGACTTAAGAACATCTAGAGCATGATTCGATTATGCATGAGCATACTGTGACACGCTTCATACATGTTAGACCGCCCAGAAGGGCGGCGGGGGCTTGCCTCTCTGGGGTGAGACTGGGCAGAATTTTAAAGGTCCATATTGTGGCGTCTACTTGTGCGTGGCTCTGTCATGCGCGAGCGCGCGCACAGACGCTAGGCTTAGTCCGTACAACACCTTGCGGTATGCACCGTAGGTAGGTGCACAGTGCGTACCAGGTTGTCTGGCACTCTTCTTTCCGGGCACTTTGGTCCAATCTGAAAATCCTTCGGGTGCAATAGTGAAGCAGTCCACTATAGAGCCGCAAATGGAGCCTGTATTTGCATTTCTGCAGGTTTTACATCTGACATCTGCATATTTCTATAAACGCAGCTTAAATACTGCACGTATGTACTTTCTCATTGGAATAATTGCATTGCTGCACAAATACAGGACACATATTGCATATATGCACTTGAAGCACTGCATAAGTGCACAACTGCACTTTTGCATGTTTGCACGTTTGCATATTTGCATATTTGCACATCTGCACACCGGTGAATTTGAGTGCCGAGGTTCATCTGCCGGACACTGTAGGTGCCAGGTACGGTACCCCTTAGGTACCAGAGGTCAGTTATAGAGCAATATGGACCTCAGGTCGTCATGCGGTACCCTTGCCAATTGTTCCTTTTCTCACCCGGTAACATCCTCTGGAGCCCCCGATCAGTCTCCGTCCAACCGGGCGTTTCGGGATGTTAGGGGGCAAATCATTGATAATCAGTCCCCAATGAGCGGATCTCAGGATGCATTTACAACCGTCGGATGATCCGCCGTTAATGGTGGTCCCGTTGAGCGCGAGCGTGAGCGTGTAGGTGCCAGCCTGCGAAATGCTGTAGCTGCCTGCTCGTGATGGCGTTGCCGTACTGGTCCGCGGCTTGCACCGTGAACGTCAGATTCGCACCGGCCAGGCCCCCACTGATGCCCGCAGTCGGCGGCAAACGACTAATACGCTATTAGTTCGCAAAGGGGAAGTTGCAATACCTTATGAGATAGTACCTACCTACATATGCACATATGCAGACCTATAATGCACAAAACGCGAATATGCAGACCTCTACACACAAAAGTGTTATAATGTGCTCGTGCGCTGCACAATATTAGAAAATGCAGAAATGCATATTCTGTATCCATTTGCGCTGCCATCGTCCACTGCAGATAAGCGTCATTTGAATTTTGATTTTATCGCTCACTGCCCGGGGTACTGCACAGTGTCGCACACTGTCAGCCTCTCGGCAGCGGTATAAACCAGCTATTTCAACCTCGTAATGCAACGTGGCAGCTTCAGAATTGTCCTGTTCGGAGAAATCGAGGTCAAAGTTGAACAAACGTTACATGATTACGGCATTTTGCGGCGGCGGCCTCGCGTCCGCGAACGATTTGTAGCACCAACTCGCCGCAGCCGTGCGGCGCAGTCTGAGCTTGCTGTACATTATGGTCTGGAACTTTTGGGGTATTCTCCGTACGTTATCGTATTGAATGCCGGGCAATTAGAAAAGGCAACAGACTGGGCGTGCTTATCTTCCGCAGAGCCACGTCGTACAGCGTCGCACGAAACGCGGTTTCATGGAATGCAAAAGCTTGCTATTTTACTTCGTAAAAAAGAGGCAAGCCAATATGCGCTTCAATGCAGTCATGCATCGCCCAGACATTGCCTAAGCATATATGTGCGCGCGTGTCGATCATGCATCATTTGACTGAGATACTTTACAAAAGAGGCTTCATTGCTTGATGTTGCACTGGCTAGAGTGGTTGAAGGGATTGCAAGTTAAGTCTGATAGGAAGCTGCAGAAGCTAACGTTGTGCACAATCTGTGTATAATCACAAACCTAGCGACTGCATGCCAGCGTGGCCGACGCGAGCTCGTCAGACTCGGCTCTGTTTCGGTTGCTTTTCGCCGGATCTAGCGGGTGGTGGCAGTCGAGATCGACGGCCCTGGTTTGCATGACGCTTATCGTCACGCTGCCCTGCATGCTTCGAGTAGGGCAAACCCGATTGCTGATGCTTGATTCGATGAACATCGCATGTCACTGAAAGTGTAAGCGGTTTGCATCGTCTTGCAACGATCGCTTGACGGGAGGGCTACACCACTGACCAGACGCCACATCTGAAACGACCAAGGAATTTTCACTTGAATGGACTCGCATCTGAAAGGTGTCGACGCCATGACAGAAATGCTGTTAGTTTGACAGAAGAACTTGCAACAGATCTGGCTTGCCAGTAGGGACCTTCTCAAAGCGTCGACGTGCCAACCCCTCAAAACATTGGTCATGGGCTCCCTGCAGCGTCCTCGGATGTTGGGCACAAGCGATCCAGAGAGTAGTTTCTGTTTTCTCATAACGACTTGCTAGACCACAACGCTCGCAATCATTATTATTGAATACTGCTTCAAATCAAAGCACTCTGATTGAGCTAGTGTTTCAGCTTCCTTTTCAGTCAAATATAGACCTCAAAGCTGGTCATTGTTTCTGTGTGGTCCTGTGGAGAGGTTGAGCAAGGAAGCTACAGGAGCTGACGTTTGTACATAGGCCGCTGTGATCTTTCGAACAAACTTCTCATCTGCAAAGTGTCACAGAACAGAACGGACGAGAGAGGATGACGCAACGGGGCGAGTCTGGCGTCAGCAGGGAGCAGCTCAAGGAAGTGGACGACGTGGCGCAGGTCCTCTCAGAAGTCTTTGACGTCACCCCGGAGTATGTGCGTGGCGCGTTCACGTGCGTGTGGCAGGTGGGCACTTTCGTGGTGTTCTGAAAAACGGTGCAAGCACCCACTGTGAATATGCCAGGCAATCCGAAGGCAGCTGCTGACGTCAGGGGTAGGCTGCTGCCTGAGAAGCAAAACTTGGGCTGCTGACGTGTTGTTGCGGATGAAAAGCAGATTTTACGCTACGTTTCTCCTCCGGGTCAAACTTGCAATCTGGGATCCGCTCCTTGAAAACAATCTGCTTGAGAAAAAGTCTTGTCTGGTATCTTGCATCACGTCCATGTCTTAAAGCTCGATATATGATCCAACTTTCTGATCCAAAGTGGACCGAAAAATGGAGTCGGAACGTTGCAGCCATTTTCTCAAGCTAGACTAGAGTCCAAACACTGTCTGCTTTCGACATCGCAGAACTATGGATTCCAGCAGGAGGCGTGGGCTGCCATCAAGGAGGATGACTGGGCTGACATCACAACGTACATTGTAGATGACCTCAGAGCAGCGAACCCAAATGATGACGTGAGCATATCGGCAGTCCCCGGGGCTGCGGTTGACCACCCACAAGAAGATTCATATTGTGAGTTGTCTGCGCCGTTGTCGAAGTAGCTTGTATTCAGTTTTCCTTTCATTCTGAATAAAGTGGATGCAAAGTAGCTCGCGTTTCAAACGTTTTGATGAAGCCAGAGACATAACAAGGAGTCTTCAATCAAGCGCACTGAGTCGAAACACGAAGGATGCCTTCTGGATCGCTACAGGGCGTGATTTTGATACGATTTTACCAGATAAGCATTTTCAGGTTTGCATATTCGTAGTTGTGCTTCCGAAATAGGATCTACAGAAAAGCGCGAGGCAAAGTACGAATCGGCGACAAACATGCGGGATTCTTTACTGACAATTTCACGCGACTGTTCTCCCTCTTAACTGAGTCTCTTGATGACTCGAAGGTCCTCATGGGCGCAGAATGATGTGCCGCTTCATCCAAAAAGCACTCGAGTAACTCGCGGGAAACGTTTCGAGTGCTGAATCAGATTTATGACCCACCAACGGTCACCTTAATATGCTTCGCGCAAAGGTACTTTTAGCTAGACACTTATCTGACCGTAGTTGTTGTCACCTTGCAGGGTTCCTTCCAAGATCAGAGCAGGGCGACGGAGGAAGTGCCGCTTCAGATCCCCGAGCAAAGACCAGCAATATACCTAGTCAACTCTCCGACGGAGAAGCGCACTCAGAAGACTACGCCCAATGCTTAAGCGGCATTCCCGCGGTGTCGAAAGCGAGGGATCCCCCTCCCGGTGGGGGAACTGAGGATCTGACAACTGGTGGACGCGGCTCGAGAAATGTGGCACAAATCTGCGCCCAGAAGCAAGCGATGGGCGAACAAGAAAATCCATTCGAGCAGTCGCTTTCCCCTCTTGAGCGCAGCAAAGCCACACTTCGTTTCAGAACTCCCCGCCGTAGGAGCCCAGACCGTGCACTGGAAGCGAGGACAACTCCGGAATGCAACTTCCGACTTTCGGAATCAGCCGTCCCCACTTTGCCCAGGCCTTGATGAGAACGGTAAAAATCCAGTTGCACAAAGTGGGCCGCAGCATCGGGAGGGGCTAACTTTAGCGGCCTTGGCGATCCAACCGGTACGAGGAAACCGTGAAGAGCGGGTGGTTTCTCCCGACATCTCGAGGGGGAGGGAGCGCGTGCCAATCTCGTGCGTCAATGCCTACACGGAGGACAACCTGCCCAAAGGCTTCCGCTACATGACAGGCTCCGTTCCGTTCGACGTGAGTAACAGAACAGGTTCGGAGCGGCTTTCATAGGTAACCCTCTAGTTGAACTGAAAGCTAAGGTCTCAGGGCAGCTATTATTCATGAAAGTCCTCGGTTTTCCCCCTTCAACGACCAGCATTTTGGCAATTCAATCGGAATGTCGGTTACTTTTTCATCACTTCTGAGCCAAACACGATCCTCTATGTCCCACTCCAAGGCTTGGAAAACTACCAAATCATATCTCGTAGAGATCTCTTTGTATCAACTGAATCCTCCAGATATCATTGTGATGCCGGGCGCCAAATTCATTCCCCTCGATTCCGCATACATTTGTCTCGAACTCAGGCCAGCGCATTTCAACTTTCAAGGAAAGGAATAAAGAGCGCCTGGAGGCCTCATTTTCGTTTCGCTTTGTCTTTTGTGGCCAAAAGTAGCCGGGAATTTTGCCCAGGCCGTATGAAACCCCTGAACTTGGCCTCGTTTGCTTTTGCAGAGAGCCCGGAAGTACGCCCCAGGATGCCTCTCCCGCCTGGTCGATCAGGACCAGTGCCGCTGCAAGGGTGACTGCGTGGGTCGGAAGTTCGAGTGCTGGTGCACAAACATCACCCGGGGATCCTACGCGTACAACCGGGAGGGGCAACTGAGCCAGCAGTTTCTGCGTCAAGAGGTAGGCCCTCTACGCTCTGTTGCTCTATTTACCGTTTGTGCCCAAGCATTGCAACATTCTCTTGCCGCCAACAGGACTTGCGATCCGTACCAAGGAATTGTGACCTTAAATTTCGTGGTTTTATTACGACTGGTTCTGGCTGCTTCGACTGGTTCTGTTCTATTGTCCGCGACTGTGTTGAACACGTGACAACTTTTGCGAAGACAGTTCATGCTGAAGAAGACTCTGCGGATGCATGATGGAGTCTAGGAGGGTGGAAAAAAAGAAACTGAAAAGACCACGCATTGACGGCCATGAAGAAAGGCTGCTTGACAATCAGACTGACCAGATCCTCTCCGACTCGACGAGACTGGTAGAGATTCTGTTCCCGGTTATCCTGCGGAGTCCGCTTGCTTGAAAAGGGCAAAATTCTGCTCTCTTCTTGTTTGAAGTGCAGCTCGACCGGATGAAGGACATCGGAAATTAGGGACTTCGCCGGATGTATGCCGGAAGTGTGCCGAGCCCAGACCGCTCACGCCGGCTGTGTGCCGGCTTTTTGCCGCGTGTACCCCGCGGCTGCCGCGTGTACCAAGGCTGCTGCCGGTACGGGTAAGCCGACTGCCGACGCTCATCACGCGGCAGGGCGCCGGCGACAACTATCGCCGGTCCGGCGGGACCTGGTGCCGGGCGGCTTTCCGGCTGAATAATCAGAAAAGCTTGGTGCCGGCAGGACAAACCGGGGGTTGTGCCGCCACACTGCCGGCCGGTATTGCAGGTGCCGCGGCCGGTCTCGGAGATCGCCGGAGCATATGGGCAGGTGCTGCCGGCCGGCTTGGTCGGCGAGTTACTATCGGTACTATGCGGTGCCGGGGTTTGCCGGCTGTACGCCGGATGGGGCCGCGTGTAAGCCGTAGGCGGCCGCGTGTACGCCGGCAAGTGCCGTGTACGCCGGCTAATGCCGTGCCGGCAACTGTGATGCCGCTAGCCGCGCGAATGATCAAATATGCAACACGAATCGGTCATCATCGGAAGAAGCGCGCACATAGCTTTCAAAGCCTCTAGTTCCTGCATAATCCAGCTGAAATATGGCCCTCATGCTTCTGGAATGCAATTGCAGCTAAATAGCGGAAGCAAACAACATTGAATGAAACTGAATAATACTGAATGCCCTGATAATCAAGAACAAATCGTGAATGAGTTGTCATCTTATCAGACTGTGCAGTTCTGATGTGCAGGAATTTGAGCCGTGAGGACTTTGTTACAAAACAAGGTTGTTCTCTGTGAACTGTTACGCTATCAAGTTGATCTTTTATGTACATTCTCCACAGGAGCTGATTACTACTATTCTATACTTCCCCTACTCTTATTTACACTACGTACTTGCCCGGCCTCTTCTTAACCGGGAACCTCCACTCCCCCTGCCCCAGCTTGAGCATAAGGGCCCAGTCCGACTCCATCAGAGTCACCCTCTTGGCGTGAATGGCATAGAGGTTTGCCTCCTCAAACATCTTGACGAGGTAGGCCTCCGCCGCCTCCTGCGGTGCGTCGTACGCCTCTTCCGCAAAGCTGAACAAACAAGAGTCGGTTGACAAAGTGCAAAGTCGCGAGTTCAAGCTACGACGCACAAACTCCAACGGACAACAGCCTCGCTCGTCTTTCGGATCGTATGCGCTCGCAAACTCAAACTGAAGACCTTGTTCCTATTCGGGGCACAGATCTATAGAACAGCCCATCAACTTCATAAGAAAGTTGAAACCGCCCATCAACAAATTCAAGCTTATGAACACAGCCCATCAACAATTTTATCTTTGACGAACCAATCAGTAGAAGCATTATGACGACAGCCCATCAACTAAAATTGACAGGCTGGAGTTATAATTCGAAGCTTCGCGGATGTGGCACAGACCTCTTCGTTGAAAATAACAACCTGATTCATTTGTAGGAATGTTCGCGCCATGATTAAAACCTGAGACACAACAAACCCCAAAACCTCTGTGGCTGATTCATCGACCACGGCGCAATGTAAGAATGCTCAACAACAATGCAGTCCTTTAGAAGGAAAAGGTTGCATGCAACACTTACTGCGTGACCACTCCTTTCTTCGGTTGCACCTTCTCTGAGTCCATGACCTCCTTGCACAACCTGCGGAACGCCGTCTTCTTCAGCAGCAGCTCGGATGTCTTCTGGTACTTTCTGATCTCGCGCAGCGCCACTGTCCCAGCCCTGTACTCGTGCGGCTTGATGACCGGGGGCGCCGTCATCCTAGGGCACTTCGTTGCGGTGGCCTTCCGCTCCTGAGCCACCCCTGTGCTAGAGCTTGGCAGCTGCTTCGTTCGCGCCATGCTTACTTGCGTCGGCGAAGGGTGCGAGTTGGCAAAAGGCTTTGCTAAAGCAAGGGCAAACGGGCGCCTTCAAAGAAACGACCTTTCAAAGTTATGGGGACAGGCGGTTCGTCGGCTTCCGATATGTCCATGGACCTCGGGCAGCCTGCGCTTCAAGACTCGAAAACAGCCTACTGCAGTCATGTGTGAGTGTCAACTCGTTCGACGAAGCAGAGTCATGGAGT